CATCGGTTACCGCGCTTTCTCCACTCATTGAGACTTTTGTAGTGAGATACGTTATATTTTGAACTATGACAAAAAAAAGGACAGAAGAATGTAGGTCAATCATGGGGCACTCACCAACATTGTTATAGATGAAACTGTACTTCACACAAACTTGTCCATTAGCTTGTCGTGTTACCACTTGATCTCTGTGGTGTTCCCAGATGTAGTTGATGTCAGGTGGTGAACCATCATCTACAATCGCACCAGTGATTCTAATGCAGTAAATCGTCCTTACATTTTTTTACATGTTATTACCAATGGATTTCTACACGGGATGTGATTATCTCTTTTGGCGTCTAAAATTTCCGCGCAAGTTGTATTGATCACATTTTCCTTCGTGAACTCTGTTCCTAGCCAGGTAAATCTGAAGCAGTAAGGTTTCGACGTATCGTACGTTCCGTTTATTTCAGTATATAAACTTATATTATTAGCATAGGTGAAACAATCTAAAAGATAGCTCAGTACATTCATGTACTCGAGAGGATTAGATACTTACGAATATAGGCTAGTAGGAGCCAAAATGTATCGAAGGATCTTGACACAAGTGTCATGATCAGTTATGTATACAATACAACGATAGAAAAGGAGTGGGCCGTACTTGCTACTGATAAGATTGATATTACAGTTAATTGCAAATAAAGGTATCAATGTCAGAAATAGATAAACAGGAATAGATCATCCACACCTATATTGTCATTTCACTTTTTAATACATACCTACACATTGTGACAAGAACATCATCGCAGCATATACAGTATTTGGTTCAAATAATCAATTTTCCAGAAACTGAAATTTTCCTATCTACCTCATTAAATCTATGATTATTATGAATCATCGTTTCGTTAGAAAACCCCAAGGAATAATTTCCAAAAACCAAATCCATTATGCAAACGACTACCGAGTAACCGTATACAGGGTGTCTTAAATTGAGTAGGATAACATGGCTATCTTTGTTATTATTACAACTTCGGTTAAATTGGCAAAGTTGTATAGTTTCCACAGAGTTGTATATAAGTAAATAGAGGGGCAGTACATACGACCTGCGCGTGGAAAAATAACCCCAACTACAGTGGCCGACTTTTAATGGCGGAGCCGTTGGGACGCATGCGCGGTGCGTGAAAGGAGAAGCAGCGCGATTTTGGCTGCATTCAGTTACATAATTACATACAAAGCAGAGCAAAATCTTGTCATTTGCTTCAGATTCATTTGTAAATAAACGGACGCTTTGGAGCAATAATTTAAGCATGCCTCATTACATTATACTCTTTGCCGCTATTTCAATGTTTAGTAGGCGAAGATCTGTGCATAAATAAAGCTTATTTTAAAATGCGAGTCTTTTAATAAATTTATTTTTCAGTTGATCCTACATGATTGTAGTACCTACCTTTATAACTATTTAAATGTTTCAGCAGTGATTATACAGGTGTGTATAATCAATGGTTTCAGACCGCAATCGAAAGTGCTGCTTAAAATAAAGAGATGGAAATCGAAGAGCAATTTTTCCGCAAAGTTCAGAACTTTTGGAAGTATATGCAAGTTTTGATGGGGGTTTTATTCTTAATTAGATTCTTCATTAAACATAATTTTCGAAAAATTAATTACAGCTAAAAGCTGTTCAGGGTTCATTTTAATACGCAGGTTACACCTAAGTTAAAAGTCCAGGAGAAACAGCTAATGCTAATTTCTAAGGCTACCGAATTACTTATTAGTCAGCTGTTTTTTAAATCCGCGAGCTCGCTCTAAAAAGTCGGATCCAGTCGTATCAAACGAAATCGATAATCGATCAACGTATAAAACTGAACGCACATTTTGTTGTTTTTATTTTGAACTTTTTGCTCGTCAAAAATGCCAAAAGTTTGTCTTGTGCCCTTCTGCAAAATGCGAGAACCTACTCAGGGAATAAAATTTTTTAAGTAAGTATAAGTAGGTAACTATATATCCATAAATAAATAACAAGCAATTGCATATTGTGTTACTGTATTTTCAGGATAACTAACGCTAGACGTGTTTTATGGCTACATGCTTTGGGAAGAAATCGAGAGGACGACATTAGTGCACATAATGTTATTTGCTCTCTTCATTTCTCCTCTGCAAGTTTTTTACCAAGTGGAAAATTGAAAAAAGGCGCTTTGCCAACGTTGAAATTGAGGCCTGAAAAACCTGGTTTTACTTCACTTCGTACACATTTAGAACTTCAACATCAGTGAGTATTTTTATTTAGGTATAAGTGGGTATATAAACTGTTCATATAGATTTATCAAAACTATACAAAAACATTCACTTTGACTATTTTCTTTCCTGAGGTGTACCTCAAGCGCTCATAGTAGGAGAGCTGGTAAACATTTTTGGGTAGGTATTTGAGGCACTCTGAAAACTTGTCCAATACTTCTTCAATAATAACCCAAACACAGAATTGCAGACCTGACTGGAGAGTAGCGGGGCTAACACTTCGCCAGGCGCCTTCAAAGTTTGAAAAAATGTATATAATGGCCGCCATAAATACATGAACACCCACTATACTTTGATCAATTTTGATGAAAGTTTCAGGACAATTGTTTTTATTAACGAACTCCAAACGAGTTCATAATTTTGTGATGTCTGTCCGTCTGTCCGTTAGCACGATATCTCGAAAACAAATGGACCGATTACGATGAAATTTTGCAGGTGATTGTTTTTCAAATTTGTAAATCGGAGTTCGTGAATTGGTAATGTAGGGCAAAAATAAGGAATGCCCTTTTGGCATCTTCGTTATTTATATGAACCAAATTGAATGAAATTCAGCATAGCTTTATATAATACGAATGCCTAGCTATAGCTATACCCAGGAACTCGTTTGCTATATTTGTTTACACTTTTATTTCGAAATAAGAAACGATAAACGTTTCAACATGATACAAATTAAAGTAACACTAAGCCAGAAAAACGACATCTACAGTACTGTGGCGTTCAGCGGCATCTACCACCAATGGAGTGGGGTATGATGGGTTGATGGCTAAATGATTTACCTGGAAACAGTTTAGATGATCTTGAAGATCAAAAGTGATCAAAGTACAGTGGGTGTTCATGTATTTATGGCGGCCAGTATACATTTTTTCAAACTTTGAAGGCGCCTGGCAAAGTATTAGCCCCGCTACTTCTCAGCCAGGTCTGCAGTTTTCTGTTTGGGTCAGTATTATTGGAGAAGTATTGGACAAGTTTTCAGCGTGCCTCAACTACCTACCCAAAAATGTCTACCAGCTCTCGGGCTATTATTTCTTTGTTGATACAATAAATTTTGTCTGTAGATTAACCAAACGCCAGCCTCTACTGTTGCCAGTCGCTGCAGAAGCATTAGAACCCTTATCTTCAATTTCAAATGTGATAGAAGAAAGTGAATCACATGGTTTGGTAGGATCGCCCGAAAAAAGAAGAAAGTTAAAGAGACTGGATCACTGCTATTGGTACGTACCTATTTCAAAAACTTTTTTGTTGGCGCAACTTCTTATTGATCATTTTTACAGTTTGAATCCCATAGAACCCTTACCGTCAAATTCCAGTGCGATTGAAGAAAGTGATTCAGATGGTTTGGTAGGATCGCCCAAAAAAAGAAGAAAGTTGACGAGACTGGATCACTGCTATTCGTACGTACCTATTTTTTGTTGGCGTAACTTCTAATTGAACAATTTTACAGTTTGAGTCCTCGAAAAATGAAGCAAGGTTTGGTGCAAAACAAGGCTAAACGAACGCTATTGACGACTCGACTAAAAACTTCAAAACGCAGAATCGTAAGGTTATCGGCAAAAGTTACAAGCTTGAAGAACCTTGTTCTGCACCTGAGAAATAAAAAACTCATTAACGATGAAGCCTATAATATTATTGAAACATCGTGCAGTGGTGTGCCAGCAGTTTTGATGAAGAGACTGTTTGACAACTCAAGGAAGGGCAAGGTCACCAGAAAAATATTCCCGCCAGAACTGAGAAGTTTCGCCATGACGCTCAATTTTTTTTCAAGTAGGGCCTACGAATATGTTAGAAAGACCTTTAGACTTGCACTACCGGCCAAATCGACCATAAGAGCATGGATGTCAAATATTTACTGCTTGCCTGGTTTTTCGCAGACCTCTTTTGATCTCTTGAAAGGAAAGGTGGAAGAAAACAATAGATTGGGTAAATCAACTTTGTGTGCCTTAATGTTGGATGAGATGGCCATTAAAAAACAAATTGATTTTGTTGCTGGGAAATCATGGGGATATGTGGATCTAGGTACAGGCATAGAAGACGATAACCTAGAATGTGCAACAGAAGTCCTTGTACTGATGGTGGTTGCAATTGATGGACATTGGAAATTACCTATTGCCTATTTCTTCATAACTGGCTTAACAGGAGCAACTAAGGCCAGTGTAGTGAAAGAAGCACTCATTAAATTGAATGATGTAGGTGTGTGCATCACTTCACTTACATCAGATGGCCCTAATGCGAACTTTACTATGATGGAAGATCTGGGTGCCAAAGTGAAAAATATCTTCACACTTCAACCTTATTTCTTTCACCCTTCTACAGAGCAACCTGTACATTGTATATTGGATGCATGCCATATGCTCAAATTGCTGAGGAATTGTTGGGCTACTCTTGGTGTACTGATAGACGATGAAGGAAAAAGAGTTGAATGGGCACTTGTCGAGCGGCTGCATGCACTGCAAGAACAGGAAGGTCTGCGTTTTGCCAATAAACTCTCCAAGACGCATATTGAGTGGCAGTCACAAAAAATGAAAGTAAGTGGATTACTTTCAGCTGAATGCATTAGTTTTTGTTGTTGTGTACTTTTAGGTAAAGTTAGCTACTCAAACCCTGAGCAATAGTGTTTCAGAAGCCATCGACTTTTTACAGACAAAAATGAAGCATCCAAGCTTCCAAAACGCAAGCCCAACAATAAGATTTCTGAAAATTGTGAATAATCTCTTCGATTTGCTGAATTCAAGAAACCCTATTGGTAAGGGATGTCACACTCCCTTGAGAGAGAATAATATATCCTATTGGAAACCGATCCTACTCAGTTCTGTGGACTACCTCAGCAGTCTCAAAACAGGGGATGGGAGATTTTTGCATCTAACTAATAGGAATACGTCTATAAGAGGCTTTATCATCACTATCAAGTCGTCCATTGCACTGTATGATCAATACGTAAGTGCAGGTCCTCTTTCCTATTTTTTGACCTATAAAGTTAGTCAGGATCATTTAGAGCTTCACTTCTGTAGCATAAGGTAAATTTCAAGTAATTTTAAAACTTAAATCTTTTTCTAAAAGACGACATTCCAGAGCACGCAACGGCTGGAATAATAATCCAACTGCGATGCAGTTTTATCATACATTTAAACGACTTCTCGTCCGCCATGACTTGAGGAACATTAAAGGGAACTGCACTATACAGGATTCCACTTACTTGCTTTCCGCCGTGCCCTCCACATCTCAGCGAAAAATCTACGCAATTTCAGTGGACGATCTTCATATGATAAAGAAGTTTGGACTCGATTGTAGCGACATGCAAATCGGTGATCACGACTACGCCATTCCAAACCTACCTCCTCTGACTGCCTTCTGCCAAAATGTGGTAGGCTACATTTCCGGTTTTGTGGTCAGAATGATGAAGCGAAAAATCAAGTGCCAGACATGCATCGTAAGTTTACACGATGTAGCTTCGACGTCTTCCACAATAGACACAGCTCTGTTGCTTGTGGACCAACGAGATAAAGGAGGACTGCTGCGACCTTCTAACGATCTTATGGAAGTGATGTTCATTGTGGAGAAAAACATTAAAAAGGTATTTACGATCACGGATGGTAAAATGCCGAAGGACGACAATTTTTACTTGACATTTTGCCATCAATTGGCAATGTCAATGTTTGCAGAGAACAAATTTTTTAAATCTCTCGATGATCATCGATTAGAATGTTCAATCCTTGAAGAAAGTCACATAATGAGAGTCATCAAAACAGCTGTATTTTGTTACACGAAAATCAGACTGCACCATGTAACTCGAAGACAAAGTCAATTGGCTCGTGGTGAACTCATAAGGAAAAAATATACCAAGTTGATTTTATTTTCTAATCAGTAGTAGGGGAATTTGGGATAAACTACCTTTTCAAATTTTAAATTATTCTTGAAGATAACCTAGTTATAAGTTAGTAATAGTGTAAGTTATAAGTTAGTAATAGTGTAAGAACAAGAGCACGGTAGGCGAAAGTCTTTCAGTTGTGGATGAAATGTTTGTTTGTATCATAGTAAAATTCTACTGGTAAGTGTATAGTCTAATAGGTATACCTATAACTTAACTCGTTTATTATTACATTCAAGCATTGTTAATGTCTTATGTTAGGCATCTAATATCAAACATAGTTTTGTAAAGAAACAAAGTAAATATTAAGTATAATAAATAATTTGTTGACCAGTATACATATATAGTAAAACTTATGAGACCATATAGAGGAAAGTGGAACACCTTTGTCTTACCACGGGTAGATTGGAACATATTACTTACATACTTATAGGTACAACTGCTTTTTAGTTTTTAGATATTGAAACATGTAGCTAAATGGTTCTGTTATTGTACGAACAAAAAGTACCTATTCGTAATCAATATTCTCATATGTCATATTATTTGACAAACCTTAACTGGTTCACTTTTCCCCGAATTCCCTATACATAATCTAGTTATAGTCGTAGTTTTAGTTATCTAATACTGTTCAATAATTTTTTTGACTGTTTTGTAGGGCTATGATAACATTTGTTCAAATGGATACATATTGTACTTCCTTTGGTTCTTAAAAAAGACAATTTTTCTATGAATAAAAACATTCTAAATAAATAGTTATTTTTTTACAAGTGAGCGAAGGCACTGTTTACTCTCGAACTCGATTTGAACACACGAGCGAGCGCCTTTGCTCAAGCGTACTAAACATAATTTTTTCCACAATACAACCAATGCTAATTAAAATAAGTAACACTTGCGAAATGTTTAACACGTACTATGATGTTTTTGAAATATAGTTTACACAGCTAACCGAAGGCATATTAACCGATTAACAAATTTTGCTCACTATAGTGATCAAAGGCCAGTTTTACTCACAAAAAGTAGATAGAAAAGCATAATATTAATTAAGTAGGTCCCCTAAAACGTGCTTTTCAACATTCAAGGATCTGGATGCTGTACCCACAATTGATAGGTTTTATCTATGAGGCAACCTGAACATCTTATCAATTGTAAGTACCTACCCTCTTCCGATACTCTGTTTTTGAAAGTTCACATTTGAAATTTCGACTCGGCCTTCTGGTGTACCTATACTTCGTTCACGTCTATCATTTTCTCATTGTCTCATTTCTGAGATATAAGCACATGCAATTTTTACACCACCAATAATGGGAATGTCGTGGGTATCTATCATTTTTTTTTCGGAAAAGGGTAGCTGGATACAAAGCTTACACTCCATTTTTCAGTTATTTGCATTTGGGGTTTGTCGACTTTGTGGCTACCCTCTTCCGAATCTGTTTTCGGTATATGCACATCTGAAATTCTGTCCCGCAACTAAAATAAAATTTCACCTTATTTTATTCTTTCATTGCTTATTTTTATACTTACTGAGTGTATAAATAGATCTTTAAACTCTATGGCACAACAAATAGTACTCCCTTTATAACAGAATCTCAAAAAATCTTTTCTCCATTTCTGTTGTGAGCCCCTTGCCAGCTGTAATCTACTGTATTAAAAGTCCTTAACGATTGTAATGTTTCGATTGTAACGTTTCTTATTTATTCAAGACACAGGGTTTATGTTAACAAAGTTATTCACCACACATTGTATTCCTTTTCAATTTTTTTGTAATGAGAAACCATATTATTTTCAAGCCGAGCCTGCTTTAAGGGCCATTTAATTTGAAGCCGGTTCTGTCGTCGTCTTGTCGATTACTGCGCACACTCACCAACGGCCTGCGCAAGGTTCAATTGGAGTCAATTTTTCGCTACAAGACTGTCTCTCTATTTACTTATATACAACTCTGTGATAGTTTCTGACGCTCATGGATATTCCGATGCGATGTTTTGAAAAAAATAATTCGTTTCGTAGATAATTTGGAAAAAAGTGAGAAACGCCATTTTTAAAAGTCCAAATATTTTAGTAACAAAGAGAGCTATCGAAAAAAGTTTCGAATAAAAGTTGCAAGATTCGATGGGATAAATTCAATGGAAATAGAATTTTTTTTTCAAAATTGCGGTTTTCAAGATATTCACATCAACTTTATTATTTTAAATTTACGCCATATTGGATTTTTACGTCAGTCGATAGAGAAAAAAATTACAAAACCAGTGATACTAAACTAATTCGAGCAGTTCAATTAGTACTTCCGCATTTTTTAGTGTAAAATATGCACGCACATTGTTATCATTCGCAAGTTTATCGAACAGTGTATGTGAATTAAACACATTTCTTGGAACAACTTACATTAATTAATAATATCTAATTACCTGCACAAAAGAGACTATTTCCCTGCTCCATCATTATATTAATTAAAATCGTACGCTGCTTTATTCATGAGACAAAAAATCCACAGCAAGTTGTATAAGTCATTAACAGTTCAATATTGCTTTTGATTGAGTAGAAAGGGTTTTTATAAAATTATCAAAGCACAAGCTTATGAATTAATTATAGGTTGTAACAATGAATCCGTCCAATCATGATTTTATTGTATGGGTACAATAAATTACGGAGGGTGTACCTAAAATCGCATGCGTTACGGTTGTGTAGGTATCTATAAAGGAACGAGACCTTAGCATTACCTACTTCATTTTGATCATAGAAACATGGGCAAATGCTACTACTGCAATATAATAATTAATATATCAGCGTTGTTACTTGAAAATCCAATCACATCACATTTTGAGAAATTTCCAACCCCAGCTGTAGCTGGATTAGAGAAAGAATTGCGTGGAAAACATTTGAAAATTGGTACCCTTCAGGTAAAGTCATACTATCACACATTTGAAGATTCACTTGTTCTTCTTTTGTATAGAATGGAGTACTTAGTGATGCACATTGGCACAACGATACCTGGTATGGAACAGGGGCAGCCTTCCAAGTAATCGAACTTTTACAGAAGATGTACGGATTTCAGTTTTCTGTTGTTCGTGAAAATCGTTTAGGTTCACAGGAAAAGGGTCTTCTCGGTTTAGTTTATAATGAAGTAAGTTACAAAGAGAAATATTCATGTATACTTTTCTTTCTTTAGCAAGTTGACTTGGCAGCCGCGTTTCTACCTGTCACAGCACTCTACTCGGAATACACCACTTTCTCAACAACCTTAGACATGGGCGAATGGGTCGCTATAAGGAAACGCCCAGAGAAACTGGCGTCGGACACGTTTGGATTACTCGAACCGTTTTCAACGAATCTTTGGATTTGCATCTTGTGTTCGCTGATAGTTGTCGGATTTGCATTATTTTCTCTCATGCGGATTTTTAAAAGATACTGCAATACGTTAGCCCAAAGAAAGTCATTAATTGACTGTTGGTGGTTTGTATATGGCGCTTTACTAAAGCAAACTACTACCTTAGGACTAAAAACAGGTGCGTCCTTTTTCTTACAGTGTCCATACTAACACTTTACTCGAAGATTCCGCGCGAGTGACGATTGCTTCATGGTGGATATTTGCTACTCTGATCACCGCAATTTACACTGCCAACCTAACGACTTACCTGACAATATCTGAGCTTCCCTTATCGGTTAGTGACATTGCGTCCAAGAGGTACCCGTTGATAATAAAGACAGACAGTCTAATTGAAACATTAATCAACAATGTAAGGCCATTTAGGATCTTGAAATTTCGCTGTTACCGCTGTTTGTAGAATTTGGAAGAACTTCACGTCACTTACAAAAATTCAAGGAAAGTCTTTGTCAATAGCAACGATGATGACATTCTCACGCATTGCATTAGCAATAACCAAAGTCACGTATACATCGCCGAGCAGCCCAACATAAATAGGGTTTTGCACCAACGCATCCAAACGCAACAGGGATGCCCTTTTATCAACTTGGGTTCTGTGTACACTTCACCTCGTGCTTTTGCTTACTCCAGGTCATTCAGATTTGGATCATTGTTTGACAAAGCGTACGTTAAGTAAATCAGAGGCAATCCAAAGATTAATTCTGTTTCAGCATACGCAACCTAGTGGAGACCGGCCTGGTGCAACATTTGACTAAAATGCATCTTCCAGATGGAGACATTTGCCCACTTAATTTGCGTAGAGTAAAAAGGCAACTAAACAACACTCACGTGGCACTGGCCTATTATATATTGGTGGGGGGTTTTCTGCTAGCTTTAATTATGTTTTGTGCAGAAATCAGTAGGAAGGTACTTAAACAAAGACAAAGTAGGGTGTTTACAAAGGAATCAAAAATAAGCCTTCCGCCAGCCCACTTTATGAATATGTTGTTATCGCCTTGCTTGGATTATTTCCCAACCGTTACTAAGAAATTTATAAACGGGAGGTATTATTGGGTTACCAGTTGCCAAGGCGAAGTACGACTAGTTCCAATTCGGGCGGCATCCTCACTCATTTTTGTGAAACGGATGCGAAGCAGTGTGTAAAACCATGGCAGGTATACGAAATGCGCTTTTTTATCCATTAGAACACTTAGGTAATTATCGGTTATTGACTGTAGATATATGTTTAAAGAAATAATTTCAGTGTGACTGTCTTGAACATCTTATTGATATTAAACAATTTTAGATTGAGTGCTTTTTCATCCTACACAGAATGGTTTACAGTCTCTTTGGATTAGTATGGCTGGCGACACCATTTACAAATCATAAACTATGCAAGGTATCCCAACGAAAATTTGTACCTCTCTAAAAATTGGCAAAATCCAAGAACCGACCGAGGTTTGTGTCAAGGGAGGCCAATTTTTATGCAAAAATAATTTTTGCAATTTGAGCCCTAAAGTTTGCAACGCCCCATACATTTTTAAATATGACGAGGAGTCACATTGCCCACAGCCCCACAAGGGGTTTCATTACTTGATTGATTGATTCACCTAGCCTAGCTGGTGCCTGAAAAGGAGAAATCACCACTTCCGCTTTCTCGTGTGATAGCTCTAAAGTATGTCCATTGTCTAAGTGTGCTCATCGGTTTCTACCCATGAAGGAATCTTCAAAAATGTGATCAGGCGACCTATTTGGGACGCGTCGTTGGGTTTCTTTACAGCGGGTGTTAAGGTCAGTGCCTAAGTTTCAGATGAAATCGATAATTCGATAATCATTCCGGAAAGTACAGAAGATGTGAGTAGGTAGTCTCTTAGTTGTAAGAACTAATAGCAGTTTCACAGATACAACCAGAGCTGGGCAGTATTCGATTTTGTACCTACATACTTTTTAGTATTCAAGACTTTGTAATTAAATACTTTTATGGAAGCAGTATTTGTATTTGTAACTCAAATACTTTCGCAAATATTTAGTATTTGGATACTTCGTCAAGTATTCGAATACTTCGCAAGGTATTTGAATACTTTGAGAAGTATTCGAATACTGCGCATTGTATTTGAATACTTAACCTTCCTTTTTTACCAAAAATCGACTACTCCAAAATTTCTCGGGAAAACACTTATTAATTTTGGTGCGTAGAATCCAAAACGATTCGTACTTTTTCGATTAAGACCTCTCAATAAAAAGTTATGAACAAAAAACCAATTTCGAAAAAAAATTCAAAGGGCTGTAACTTTTGATCTAGTAGCCCGATCTTCAAACTGTTTGAAATTGTAGATTCGACGGGTCAAATTCTATAAGAAAATTTTTTTCCAGGTCGATCTGAGACAATTTTTTTTTAGGGCCTCAAAAAAAGGCAGTGTACAACCTTCCTTTTTTACCAAAAAACGACTGCGCCAAAATTTCTCGGGAAAACACTTTTTCTTATTAATTTTGGTGCGTAGAATCCAAAACAATTCGTACTTTTTCGATCAGACTTCTCAATCAAAAGTTATAGACTAGAAACCAATTTCGAAAGAAAATTCAAAGGCTGTAACTTTTGAACTAGTAGCCCAATCTTGGAACTGTTTGAAATTATGGATTCTACAGGCCACATTCTATAAGAAAATTTTTTTCCGGGTCGATCTGAGACAATTTTTTTTCGGGCCTCAAAAAAAGGCAGTGTATAACCTTCCTTTTTTACCAAAAATCGACTACACCAAAATTTCTCGGGAAAACACTTTTTCTTATTAATTTTGGTGCGTAGAATCCAAAACAATTCGTACTTTTTCGATCAGACTTCTCAATCAAAAGTTATAGACTAGAAACCAATTTCGAAAGAAAATTCAAAGGGCTGTAACTTTTGAACTAGTAGCCCAATCTTGGAACTGTTTGAAATTGATGGATTCTACAGGCCACATTCTATNCTCTGCTTTTAAAGTAATTAAAGAAACACTCAGTACCTATATCAACTCTTACTCTCGCTCTTACTTATCCTATTTTATTTAACTAGTTGGTTTAAGCGTAGCCTACCGATAGAACTAGCCGTGACACTCATCCCCACTATTGCGTTGACGTCACAACTGACGGCGGCCGTCATATCGACTTTTAATGTAATTAATTCCAAGTAGTTTAATGTTGTACAGTTAAATTAACTATATTCGAACAGAATAAGTAAGAAAATGCCAAATACGTGCTGCGTCCCTGGTTGCAAAAGCAATTATAGTTCAAGAGACAAGGTTCCTTACGGTTTTTCGTTTTCCGAAAAATGAAGACGATCAAAAAAGTGGTTAAGATGTATTCACCGGGACAATTTTGAAATTACTAGTTACCCCAGGGTTTGTATAAAGCATTTCTCCGACATTTTCATTATTCGGGTAGACAAGATGACTAGATAAGACGATACAGTATTAACAGTTCCACGAGACCAGATTAAACTTGCCGAAGACACGTATCCCACCATTTTTGAAAATCAGCCATCATATATGAAAAGGATGTAAATGATGAGTTACGAGAAAATATAGACCTTTGCAACTATAAATGACCGAAAATCTGTAGTCTCTAGGTGGTCCAGGGGCCGAGATCTCGATGGAACAGACAGATAGGCAGACGACGGAATAACGAGCACATAAGCGTTACCTCAACTTCGTTGTGTTACGCTAAAAAAGGCAGATGTGTGTATTAGAATGTTTAAATTTTATTTGTTTTCAGCTCGGTTTTCAGTGAGTATTTGTTGTTTATGTACGTATTTAATAAAATTTTTGCATAATAACACGTGTCTATAATTAGGAAACAACATATACCAATCCTGCGGCTCAAAATAAGTAATTACTTAATGTTTTCGCGTTAAATGAGTACGCACGCGAATCAAATTGCATTTAAACACATAGTATCGCGTTGCAGTGGCCCATCTCCAGTTGTGACGTCACTAAATCAATGTCACGGCTAGATCTATCGGTAGGCTACGATTCAAATGCCTTTGATTTGTGTAAAGTATTTACTATTTAGTATTCAAATACTTTTTGAAAGTATTCTGCCCAGCTCTTTATACAACCTCGCGTGTTCAGGAGTAGCGTCCTCCAAACTGCTGAGACGCGACCCAGCACACGTAAGGCAACAGCAGGGACTGACGCGCCATAAAAAGTATCCGCCGTGCAGCTCTAACATAGTATCTATAATCTTTGTTTTTTCATTAAATTAATAAAGGTATAATCTTCTTCTAGTACTTAGGTATATGAAACTCTCGTGTCACGGTTTGTGGTCGCGCACCTCCGAAACCGCTCGTCGGATTTTTATGACATTTTTTGTATATTTGTTAGGTACTTGATGGTAGGTATATGATAATAGGTCATTTCAAACCGCTGCGGGATTCTAATTACATAGCCCGCCGGATGAGGCGGCGCAGCCACCAAAACCGAGCGTATGTCCCATCCAAGAAAACGAGTGTTCCCAAAGGTGATACGAAGTTGATGGCGTCTACCCTGACGGGGGTCTGCTAGGTACCTTAGTTATTATAAATTTCAAAAATAAATGTAAATGACACCGTGTTACAAGTTACAAGTCACGATCGAATCTGTTGGTCAGTACAGAGAGTGCACACGCAGAAAAAGGTCAAAGACAGAAATTTTATAACCACAGAAACAACAATCACTTTATACGAGGCAGTGGTGACAATAACCACGAAAAGTTTCGATAGCCGCCATGTTGCATCGAAAATTCCAATTAGTAATCATCAAATACAAATACAATTATAGTGCAGGCAGACATGTAGCACTCGATGCAACATGGCCGGCGATCCCAACAACTAATCAAAAATTAGACACTCTACTGTCGCCACTGTCTCGTATTGTGACTGTAACAGAAACGAAAGAAAAAAGCTGATTGGTTTAACGAATTAGTAGATTTTGCTATGGTTACAATAATGCCTGTCACAATTGTGTCCAGCAAGATATAAATTCATCAAGTTGGTTTCCAGTTACCTAATTTCTACCAATCAGGTGTATTTGGCCAAAATGGCGAATCTCCCAACTACCAATAGAAAATAAAATAACACCACCGTGTGACCACACTGTCTTTATAAAGTCACTGTAACAGAAACTACAGTGACTCTGTACAAGATACTTAGTGGTGACAATTGGCGGTATAACTATATATTATGTGACAAATTTCAATATATTATCTTCAATTATTACTATATTCCAGTGGCTATGTTTAAATCTGCCACAACATGGCTGGTGGGCATAGTTTACGCTCAATTGTCGCCATACTGTCTTGTTATGTCATCTCGCAAAACACTCGTAATTTATATGTAGGTACTTTCGTGTTTCTGCATCATTTCCCCATAATAATGCGCATTCCACAATGAAATTATTAGCAAATTAATGTTTTGTGTTATTCAAAGTCCCATCAATTAGCCATTTAAATTTATTTTAATTTGTGTTTAACTTATTTCCTCTTTAAGCACAGCGATTAACTACAGTTAATCTGTGATGGCCTTAGCTTCTACAACATCGGAGAAAATGTTGGGTACGACTATTTAACAGAGAAATAAAATTTTGTGGTGTTTTAATAAGTTTCTAACTCCCTTTGTTTTCCATTTTCATACCCCGCCTTGACCACGTTGCAAAAGTTTCTCGAAAGCACTCTAGAAAGTGCCTAAGGGTTCCTTGGAAAGCACTTATTGGCGATCGAGAACTTTTTAGGCAACTTCCCAAAGCGTTACCTTCCAAAAATGGCTTAGAAATCTTTTGATACGGTTCGGAAAATCCCAGGAGAGGATATAGCGCACCAGACTTTTAGTTTGTACAATGGCACCAAAATCACAAGGCATAATTTTTATGAATTAAGTAGGTACATGTACGTTGAGTTTCGAGCTGAACTTAAAAAATCTTAAAAACTTGCTAATCAATTATTTATGAGTTCATGTCTATTGTAGAAAATGAAAAGGCCCAAAAAGGTGAAATAAATGAGTTATTTCTGATTTTGGCTATTTACCTATAACATAATGGCTTACAGCTTGAAAACCTATTCACAATCCCAGCGTACCTACTGTAAAACCTATTACTATTATAATTGATGTGAGAGCTAAAGCCCGATGCAGCCCAGGGTCACCCAATCCCCTTAGGATTTTTGATAGGTTTCTACAAGGTTTCTAGTGTACCTAGGTTGAAATCATTGATGATCCTAGCAACTACCTTGGCATATTCTCCCCGTATTTCGTTAGGGCTTGGCTAACTTATTGCCCTTACCGAAGAGGTTAATGTCTGTGTCTAGCGCCAACACCACAATCATCACGTAGGACATGCGCTCTTTTCGACTGCTTGCCCGCAGAGCCCGCATGTATAGCATCCTCGGCGCCGGCCATACTCATCGCTTTTAGCTGATATTTTAGTGGAGGAGATTTTCTGCAGTCAAGCCTGGATAGGTAAGTAGCATGATACTATAATAATCATAATAATCAGATATGCTCAACTGGCGAACGAATTTAGAACTTGTTTGCGCATTACGTCATCGGGTGACAAATTTAAATTTTGTTGTCGCTTGTCGCCAATGAATATTAAGAGAGATTTACACAGTAACATTTTTATGAACATTTCCGCGGTTGTAAAGTGCATAACAAATATGGCACAGGAAATGAATTGAATAGGATGTTTAGTTTTTCACCGAGTTCGCACTATGAATGAGTCGATTTCGGGAAGGTCTCTTATCAAAAGTTGATCAGGGATAAAAATGTTTCATCGTTCGTTTTAGTGCACACTTTAGAGGTAGCTTTTATGACTAATTTCTCCAAGATGACCATTCCAAGTGAGAAGTGTAAGTTATTGAGCGATGAGACTTGGCAAAGAATAATAACAAATTATCATAAATTATACTTTATTACAATTCAAATTAAATTATCCTTAACGAAGACCATAAAATGCATACACGAGGAGGTCATAACTTAGCCTTTAATATCGAGGGTTGTAAAATACGTACATTTTAGTTGCTTATGTAATCTAGAGGGGCCAGACTAGTAACAACATTATTTAACAATTTTTACAAACTTTCTTTTCCTCGTATTTGACTGTTCTTTAATATAACGATTTAATTTTCGAATTCTAAAATACAATTTACACCTAAAAAACAGTTTTTTGGCATCAAGACTAACATCTACATTTTCAGAATGTTCTATTAAGTTTTTTATATAATTAATTTGAATTTTTAAAGAATTTCCATTTATTGCATCAAAAATCGCATTTAGCTGCCTACAATTTTCAAGAAAGTTATTTGTGGGTTTCATTAAACCGCCTTCAGACACGTGGTTAAGCCACGAAGATGAACAATCGCTGGAATCTGGAATGAATCCCAGAGTCTCCTTTTTTCTTAATTTGAAAACTACATATCCCGCTAAGTTTTCTAATCCGTCACATTGCAGTTGAGTCAGCTCATCTACTGAAGAAATTTCATCTGTTGTACCTTCGTCGTACCTATCTACATTTACTTTTAATGTACTTAACATTTGCCCAGTAACTGTTTTTACATTATCTATATCGTCACAAATATTTTTTAATGTATGTAGGTTCTCAATTATAATATTTGGTGCATCTACTGCCTGTTCTACATTTGAAGAGTTAGAAATGATTTCATCATTTCGTCCTAAAACGTAATTCCTTAATCGATATTTAAATTGTAAAGCAGTGGGATGGTCGTAGAGACCACCAATTGATCTAACTATTGAAAAAAAACCTTCTAACGGATCTTGGTTTAAGCGGTAAGTTAATAAATATTTTGCATTGAAATCTGTCTTAAGATCATTAAGCAATAATTTTAATGACGTATTCCCTATTATAATACCTTTTTGAAAAGGCAATAATGCTTTAGAATCAATTTTTCTTAAGCTAAGCATTGTATTCGACATGTCATCTATAATTTTGTTTTGATCATACAAGGACAAACCATAAGCCTTCATTCTATTTCGAGAATCACATTCGGGAACTTTTGAATTAAACACATCAAACCAATCATTTGTAATTTTGAGTAAGTGTGAGCATTCTAAAAAGCTATCACTTCGACTTAAACCTAAAGAACCTAATCTTTCAACGGCTTTTGCTATGGTGTGTGAAAACAATTTCGTTGCTAATTTTACCTTTTGCCGTTGTGGACCTTTGACTGTTAAAAAACTCTCATCGATTTTATGAGAAATGCGTAAGTCTAAATTTTTGTTGTTTTCCAAAAGTTCTACAATAGGTTTTGTGTTAACAATTTTGCCATTCAACAGGAAACCTGTATCAATGAAATGATTCCTTAAAAGTTTTATCATATGAGGCGCGTCCGCAAATACATAAATATTTTTTTTCGTTGCTGGATTTTCAAACCACGTCTTATTTTCTGAAATATTTAGCGATGTCCAAAGACCCCTGTTGCTACCTCCTAGATCTGAGTTTATCGCATACACTGGATAACCAATGTGCTCAAGATTTTTAATAATTTCGAATAGTAGTTCTTTAGTTATCTTGCAGTCGAAATCATAAAATATCGGTTGCTTCCAGTTTCCAAATAGACCTTGAGCCATAATTACTTGAACATATTTTGATGGGCTTAATGTTGTATCACTTTTTCTTTCGTACTCGAAACCAGCTTGAATTTTCATTTCATCAAACAGCACAACGCAAGCTTTGTCCATTTTGGATAGAGAATTATTTTCCATTAGCCTTAGTATTATAGTTAAGATACCTAAAAGAGATTATTTCAATGTTTAGAATATTTAGTTATAAAACCATGTACTAAACTTTACAATTGCTATAAAATACCTGGCTTGACGTCAATTTTCTCTGCCCACCGCCTTAATGTAGAAAGCCCTGGGAGTGGATAACCTCTTTTTCTCAATAAACGATAAGAGCGTGGTCCTGCTGAGAATAAGGATATTGAAGAAGCAATGTCTTCTACTCTCCATAATATGCGACTACTTGTGGATTTTAGTTTTCGTAGTTGACCATTCGTAAAAATTTTTTCCACTAATTGCAATTCTGCGGTTTTCTTTGCAAGCATACGTCTATCAGTTTCCGATTCGCGTTCAGCTTTAATTAGTTTTGCATTGACCATTTCCAATTCTTTGTTTTGATTTAGAAAATTGTTGTCCATTAATTGTAATTCTGCAGTTTTTTGGGCAAGCCTACTCTTTAATGCTTCAGATTCTTCTTCAACTTTTGTTAGTTTCTTCTTAATCAGCTCTAATTCTACGTTTTGTTTTAAAATGGCACTTTTAAATGTAATACAATCTTTGCAAGAATGTTGGGAACTAAAAATATATACGAGAAATTTTATAAGTAGGGATATATTAGAGCAAGAATTTCATTACCTTTCTTCCATTGTAGAAATCTTACTTTCTAAAGCTATTTGATCTTGAGACGAGTCTTGAGACCGTTCATCCTGATACTTGCATGTATATCCAAGCTTTCATCTTCACTTTCATTTAATTTTGGTAAATTTACAGAAGGAATGGCATCATTTTTTAAACACCATAAATGCCGTGGGTAATTTTGTAGCTTTTCTTTTAAACGATAATCACTTTCCACAAAATGTTCAGAACAAATTCTAGAATTTTCGACTTTAAATTTACGTTTTTTGTTGCAAACACGCACCCATTCATCACAAATATGTGTCAGTCTAGGAAAACGAAAATACCGACAATTTAAATTAAAAGTATAGCTGTTTCTGTTGGAATTATTTGTACAACTCATCACCGCACAATACACCATGTCGCTTACTTTCAAATAGAACGACACGCAAATCGCTACTGTCAAGCTGTCATTATGGCATGATACTATTATCATGTTACCAGTAATTCGTTTGTCACCCAGTGACGTCATTATAGATGCGCTCGCGTGCGCATGAGCATATCTGATTATTATTATCATGGGTAAGTAGCTGTTGTTGTATAAAGTAGCATGATTTTTAATTGTTAGCTGCAGCTTTATACTGCAGATGCACTTTCGTAAGACTATAGTTCAGAACTACCCTTGACCGTCTTTGTTGCATTTCTTTCCCCACACCCATGCAGGTTTCTGAGGAGATCGCAAAAGATGATGGAATTTTTACCCAGTGGTTCATCAGAGATGCGACAGTTGATACCGCTAACCCATATCGCCGTTTTTCCATCTTTTTGTTTTGAACCATCCGTATACGGCTGCATAGAGCATCTCTTGAAAGGAGGTTACATTCGTTCACATTTTTTCTTTTCCGTTTTGAGATGTGCAAGGATTCATAAATAAGTAAATTCCCCGGTTTGAATTTTTTGTTCCTTTGAAATGCTAGAGCGCTCCCCGCTTGCTTGGTTCTTCACATTTATGTGGACATGCTTCAGGTCATGTGCTTATAGCTCCTGCTAGCACTAGACTAGCCGCATACTGACTTACAGTTTGATGTCCTACCTACAATCCCAGCGCATTAAAGGAACCTTTTACCAAAATCTCAGATGAATGACTTTCTAGCGAAAAGTAGTGTTACGAACTGACAAACGGCAGTCTTCACAATTTGAACAAATTGTATGATGTGCTGCCTACATTAAAGGTGCTATATGTTAATTTATAGTGCGGCCTTAATTTTATGTAAGTATTATTAAAATTCAAAATAATAATATGCTATACGCAACCTGAATGTCTATTCTCCATTGCTTGCAAAATAATGGGGATCGTTGGAAGTTGAGATCAGGTTGGATATCTGATTCTCAGAAATTGGTCTTCGTGATGTAGGTATTCAGTTAACTAGGGATGGTACCACGGGGATGCCTACCGGTTGGTTTGTGTAGACTCTACTCTACACTGTAGAGCATATCTGCTAAACTAAAGATTTTATAACTTTACTCTTGGTTTAAGCTAAGGTGACTGTCAGTTTACTTAAACGTTGTCTCAATCAAGTAGAGAGCCTCGCTAAGTAATGATAGTAATGCATTTACAATTTTCCAACAAATCATGGAACAGCAACTTCAGGGAGATAAAGAAGAAGAAATGATACCACAAAGCTAAACAAAACAATTAAATTTATTTTCATGTATGAACACAACCGACACGTTCTCCTATACCTACTTTTAGTTACGATTGTTTAATTAAATTACATTCTAGACGTTGTATATTCAACTGGAAATTTGAAGGAATGTGACCCATGTGAAAATATGTTCGGCAACAATCCAGCATTAGGAATTATATTCCACGATAAGGTTAATGTGACATTTTTGTTCCCCCTAAAACAGTGCCATTTATAAATAATGTAAACAGGACATATTGCATACATACTTTAAACCGTTACCATCATCCCAAAAGTAATACTTAGTGTTCATATTTTTGAAGTCGAGCACAGCATTTTCTCCACGCAAAATAATCTTATCCCACAAGACAACCTAAACAAGCGTAAGTTTACTAGCAAAAATGATAACCGGCTAGTACCTGGTTTAGTTGATTGCTAGGAGTTTCATATTCCGCTGTTAAATATAAGAACAGCTGCTTTACATTCCAATTGAATAAGTGCGAAAGGTCAGTTTGTAAGTCAAACGTGAGGAAACCTAAATCGTTCTTCTCACGCGAGGCACTATAATCGGGGACGTTTTTTCTAAAACATTGTCAATTTGATTATCTTTTCAAACTTATGTGAAGTACTTACACCACCACCTTAACTGTATTCATGTCAGCTTTGGTTCGATAATCTAGGAAAACTGTAGACGCAAAGCAAAGAAATGTTAAAAAGGCGAGAACGCTTAGAGCGTATGCTAATATTGCATTTCCTCTTTGTAAAACGGAATGCATTTTTGTAAATCTCACTTAATTTACAAAAATGACCAGACTACACGATTTTGGTATGTTTAAAAAGACACGTAACCTTTCTTTAAAATATGCCGTACGTCAAATGTCAGCTGTCCATCCTTAGCGTTAAGCAACGTTGCCAGAATTAATGGTAGCGCTCATACAAATTTACTTACTATACCCTTCAATATGCTGTAATGGAACTGACTCTGTGACAGTGTCAAGATCTTTTGATAGATTAGATATTTCCACTTCGGAAAAGGTATCTTAACTAGATGTAGATGCACTCCAACTTTTAAATTTACTTGTATCTAGGTACAGAGAGAAGTAAGCTGTCTAATCACAATGCCTTTGCTTATTCATTCAAAGATGGAGGGTTACATTGTGGGCAGTTCGTGATTGGTGGTTAGATTTAAAGGGGTTTCAGTTGCCTGAAGTGGTGTCTTCCCTTGGCAAATGGTAATAATAAATATTAGAAGATTTTGGAATTTGCATATGTTTCGCCGCTGGCAATTCTGTAGGTACCTATACCTATAATCAAAGCAAAAATTTTGTCGTTTACTGCGTTTTCTAGTTTATAGAACAAGAGTGCAGGATATTTATTAGTATGCTGAGCATATGTTGGCCTAAACACAGAGCCTTTAAAACCTCACTCACTTAAAAATGTCTCTATTTAAAGAATTCTGTAAGGAAAACGTTTGATGTAAATAAGAATGCAGACTCTCGATGTGTTTTTTTTAAATATTTTGGAAAAATTACACAATTTACAGAATGAAAGAAGTCAACAAAAATATGAATACGTGGGTACGAAAGTCACTGCGGTTTTTATAGAAATTTCCACAGAAGGAATATTGATTCAAACATGGACAACGGGTGCATATTTTCAAAGATTCAGAAAAGATACACCACTGATGAATGACTTGCAGAGTAGGGGCCAAGTCTGTTTGTTTCAAATTTCAAGTTACGCATTTCACAACACGCAATATTGTTCACATAAAGTGCAATATAAAATCTAAGCATTGAATATAAAGTGCTTATTCAATACTGTAAGTCACAGCCCTTGAAATATTTTTTAATTGCAACTTCTGTTGAAGTCGTGTATAAAAATCCTCTTTTTTAGGTAAGGGAAAAGAAATTGGTGAAAAAAATGTTTATTCGGTACAACCATTATAGGAATGTGTACTACATTATAATAAACAGTACTAGATTGAACATGTAAATAAAACTCTACAAAAATCAAATTGGTACGCTTGCTTAAAACAGTGAGCATTGTGTAATTGACCGCACTTATATAAATCTACAATAATTAATAAATAATACACTTAACATACAAATTAAAGCCATTGACAGATTGTTACAAATTTTATGTGTAGGAAGCTTCAGTTTGAACTATTTTATCTTCCGTAGTTGGCCCGCTCAATGCCTTACCATACGACCCAAATTTACAAGAAATTTCTAGAAGTTCCCTTAGACCCTTGAATTAAATAATGTAAAATTTGTTACACTTAAAACATATTTACCTGGTTCTCGATTTTTAATTTAGACATATCCTCACTACTTTGATTATTATGCGCTTCATCTATAAAAGCGGCATACTCCATTACCGCAGCCATCTCTTGAATTTTTTCGGCCTGCTTCGTTATAACATCATTGTAATTGTGATCTTGAAGAGCTAAAAAGTTTATCCGGGATTTATACATTTTCTCGGTCGTATGTTGCCTATATTTCGACATAATTAGTTCCAAAGCACTTTGATGTTCCTCTAAAGCCGCCCGCAGCTCCCGATTCTCCTGCTGAATTTCACGTAGATGCCTATTTTCTTTTTGAATGTTCGCGATTAACTGCGAGTGGGGTTTTTGATGGGCAACTTCATTCAATTGCTCCACTTCTTCTTGATACTGTTAAAAATTATTATTTTATGTTACAGTAGATAACAAAACGCACCTGTTTCATTGCATCGATTTTTTTGTTAATTGCATGTGTCTCATTTAAAAGAACGTCAGCAATTGAATCCCTGTCTTTTAAACGATCTCTAAGTCGTTTCGCATCAACGATTATTTGTTGAATAGTAAGTGACATTATGGTATTGTAACTGTAAATTATTGTGTTCATGAATACAAATTATTAGGTACACCTGTGCCATGAAAAATATTACTTACGAATTTAGGTTATAATAGACCATTCATTATGGAATAGCGTTCCATATTTAACGTTATTTCCCTACTATCGAAAGTTTATAATTAACGGAAGTAAATAGTTATTTGATAAGTTGCGTTTGCAAATAAGCAGGTACTGTATACGTTGCACAAAATATCGCATTTAAAATCAGCACAAAGTTGTTTATTCTTCTTTCATGTCAAGTGCTCCTTAAACAATTTGTGCCATGTTTCATACAGTACTTTCGTGGGTGGAGGCTAAACTCATACAACCAAGAATTGGACGCGTTCAGAGGCTGTAAACTTTTAGCAGTAATAAATAATTGCAGAACTTGCGATTCATTAATAATGACCGTATGCACCGACAAATTTAAGCGGAGCTTAGTTTAAGCGTTGCTTAAAACCTATAGCAACCATTGTCGCAATAATCGTTGTCATGGATTATGAGATGTGATTAAGATTCAGGAATAACTTGAGATTGTTTCATCAATCATTGCAATGGATTTTAAGTTACTTATTTTCACTAGAGAATAGGAAAAAATGGTTAAGAATTGGAGAATATTTGAAGCTTCATCAAACCACAGATACAGACATTTTCCTTAAATTAAGCGGTTCTGAAAGATTCGGAAATCCTAGATTGACAGATTGGACGTAAGGGAAACTCCTAGGACTATCTCCCAACGTACCCTGTATATGGGAAATCTATACATAACATTAAACATAACCACAATGTTTTTAAAAATTTCCCCAATACAAGATAAAGGCGTAAATTTCATTAATGCAGTAATACTAGATCTACAAACTCATTACCCCAGCTCTTTACTATGAGTTACACACAATTACGAAACGAAGTTATGCATTATTCCGCATTATGCTCCATACAAACGTTAAATTTGTTGAAACACTTGTTTGCAGACAGAGTTAATTCGATAAGAAGATTGGATAATGTATACAATGTTGGAGACCTGCTTAACGCGCTGGAAAAGAGAAACATTGTAGATTTGCAATGCTTATCCGAAATTTTAGGAGTTTTAAATCCCCCCAACTCGCGACAACAAAATTATACACAACCAGCCGCAAACAATATAGGTAAAGATTTGGGGGTTTATTTGTAACAGATATTACTTTCGATTTTGCAGATTTAAATCCTCATATCAGAAATGTAACAAGAGAAACACTAACTGCAGGCATGAACCTCAAACAATTTTATTTCACCAATTGTCTTTCTTTCAGAGCCAGATGTTAGTAGACGTAAGGAAATATATGATATAATTTGCAGTGAGATTGGTATGAAATGGAAGGATTTTGCGAGGTCTCTCAATTTCAGTGAGGCAAATGTTCAAGAAGTAGAAGAAACAGATAGATTGTTCAGTGACAGGTTACGGAAAGTATTAGCATGTTATGAAAACATGCATAATGGTGCAAATTGGAGTTGGACGCCTGTACTTGATGCGCTTAGTAAATGTAGAAGGAATGATTTGCGTAAACAAATACAAACTATGATCTAATTTTTAATTACGGCATTTATTGCAAATTATGTACCTATTACTAGAGACACTGGAACACTTGTGGTTCTGAAAGTAGCACAGTTTGAGATGACTACCAAAAACCACAAAATACTTAAAGTATAAGCAAGTAATTAGTTATTAGTAGTAGTTATATACTCCGTTAAATAATTATCGTCCTGGTAGGTAGCAAAACGTATGGGACCTTTTCATGCAGGTTTTTGTGGTTTTTTGGTGTTTGTTTCAGATTGTGCTACATAATATGTAAAATTATTTGGTTTGAGTGAAGAATTAACATGTGATAATTTAATATTAAATAAAATAGTTTCTCAAACTGGCATTATAAATTAACTTTATGCTTCCTTACTGTGTTAGTGTACCCAAATTTACGGCATCTTTTCCCCAACTGTTGGCTATTCTCATTAATGCGGTGTTTTTGTTATTAACTAACACATGCAGCTTATGAAGGCTGCGAAAAATAAATGTGCATAAATGTTGGTGTGAATCAAGGTTGGTATATTACAGGTTGCCTCGTAACTGCAATAATGGAGATCAAGTCGTCTGCTCGTGACGTCATTGGTAGCCACACAAATTTCGTTATCTTGTCATTACCGCTTATGTGACATACGCGTAAGGTTATAAATATTGAACCTCCTGTAATACCTGTGCATTCAGAACCTAGAAATATTATTAAAAGGGTCGTGGAATTCTTTGACAAACAGAAAGCTGCCAGTATGTGGGCATTTCCTTTGGAAAAGGCTATACAGAGCTGCTGCTGTGATGGCAAATCAGTAAAACTCATAACTAAATTAGGTAATGTTAATTTCAATTTCAATATTATTGATGGCACGTAGCAACATTGTTGATTGGCGGTCACAATATTTACGGAGAATGAAAGAAAATGATGCTTTAGGGACGGGTCGGCAGAAAATGAACGTGTTTAAAACTAACCGAAGCAGGAGGATCATATGGCCTCGTTGATACCGCCTATCTCATCTACAAATCGAAGACTAAGTGTAGAGACGATATAAACTACGTTAAGAGAATTGGAAGAAAAATGTGACTACGCGATTGATTGTTAGATGAAGCTGTTTATCTTTCACGGTAAACAGTGGTACATCAGACGAAGATTGACTGTATTATATAAGGATTTATAATTACTAAATTTTAAAATATAAAACTGAATATTTGTGTTTCACTAGTTAAACGATTCAAACACCATCAAAGAACTGTAAAGAATAGCTACGCATCAAATTTTCCAGCTGAATGGCTGCATGCATTTATTATTTCGTTTAAATCGTGGGATACCAGTGACGTATTCGCGCCTCGATTGCTATTGGTCGATAGTTACGAGGCAACCTATAATATACCAACCTTGGGTGTGAATGACATTTGTCGTTTTCGATTTTTACTATATGTGATACGTTTTTCTTTACTAGAAGCATCTATTGTTAAAATTTGATAGAAATATCTTCATGAATAAGAAAGTTAGTACTGCGCAAGCGCACATCTAATGTTTGCAATATGAGATATGTTTGCCTTTAACAGAAGCATCTGTGATTACAATTTCAAAAACATAACACTGGTTCTAAGCTTCAAAAGAGATGTTCTTCCTACGCCCGCAGTAAACCATCAGAGGCGGTGTCACAGCCAGTGAACGCGTGAAACACCAGGAGGGCTGCTGATCTTGACCGACCTGCAAAAAGTTGATAGTTTAATATACGTAAATACGCATATAATGTTCCGACAAAATGCACACCATCAAAACCTTCTCCTTACCGAAAGAGCATGCAATAGAATGCAGTGACATTTATTATCAGGGGTTAATAACTCCCGGGGTTAATCACCCCCTATTTTACCCCTAATTAGCAGTTAACTATAATTTGCCCGTTTCGCGCATGGTGAGCAGCTAAATAGTCCAGCTGTAAATAGGGGTAGCTCAGTAGCTGCTTAGCAGGGGTAGGCAACCCGCACTGCAAGGGTTCAGATTAAGTACAATACAATACTTTGTGTGATTTAATTACTTACCTTTGGGGCTAATTATGCAAGTTTGAAGTTAAACACAGAATAAATCAAACAAGTATACAAATCGGAGAGTTTGCGGCTGAATGGCTGAACCACTACTCATATATGGGCTTACCTGTTCCCAGCGGTCGCCCCAAATATTCTAAACGTGTTTTTACAACCATGAAGCTTAGTAGTGTCGAACAAAGATAGTCCAGTCATTAGCAATCAACATTTGTATGATGTATTGCATACCTATTCTGCGCACTAATTTATTACTCTTCGCGTGACCCTCGTATAATATAAGACTATCATTTTAATTATGAAGACTTAACTTTACTAGCCATAATCAATTATTAAATTATTGAACTGATTTTCACTTAAGTTGCATGCTGCATACCTTATTGATCTTATCTTATTGAGTATGTTACCCACTTTACTTCCTTCGCACGGATAATTAAATTACACGCGGTTGCTTGCCAGTGACACTGATTAACTCATTTAAATGAATTTACAAACACGCAACCAAACCATCAAATTGAAATACACCCCGAGCAAAATATTGTTTCTCTTCTGTAAAATCACGAACATCCCAATTTGAAAGTTTGCGCCCAAAAAGATTATCATTTTCTGATTGGTTACACAAATGTCACCGGTAGATGTCCGCAATGGGCATCCAGTGTGTTTGTAAACTGGGTTTTTCTAAAAATTTCCAAAAAATATCGAAATCGGTGAGAAAATCCCGATGAAAACGTAAAATTTTAGTGCCCGATCGAACTGTTTATGGCAATACTTCAATATTTCTTCGTTCTGTGAAAGCCTTTTTTCATTGGAAATAAGGGTTAGGTTTTTACTCTTGCGGCCGTATGCTATTTTGACAATTATGATTAGTTGTATACATTTTCAAAATAATCGTGCAACATGTAAAAAGACTGTTCCATGTAGTTTACTGTGAATTAATGTAAGTGAATTTAAGATGTATTTCTTCAAAGTAACCCCAAATTTCTTAAGAAAAGGGGTTGTTATGATAGTGTCATTTTCAAAACCCACTTGTCAGAGTTTCTTGTAACTGTTCATTGTGTTATTAATTTGAATTGTTTTTGTTTTTATTACTGATAAATAGTTTACAATGTTTGTTCTACTTTTTAATTGATTATCTTAAGATGGTGTGTGAAAAACATTGGAGAAATTTCAAACTAAACGATCTGTTTTTAGCACCCAACATTTTATAATATGAGGAATTTATATCAGAACCAAGATGTGGTTGACTGAATGTTGGAATTGAGATACGCCAACGATGCAAAGCCTGGAGGCGGCTTGTGAGGAGGGTGAAGTATGTATGCGCGAATTGGTAAGGTCCGATATCATGAGGCGTTTTTAGCATACATTTAAGAAAGCAAAGATTAGTCGTTCTTCCTTGCCTGCACCTCGCCCCCAGGAATCAGAGCAAACAGAAGCATTGACTACTAAGAAAACCTTCTGTATTCATACGAAACTTAAAGAACTTCATATTGAAGAATGTACAAAAGATTATAATCAAAGTTCTTCTGTAAGTATTCGCATTCACAGAAACCGTACGTTTGCTAACACAACCGAACTTTTTAGGGCCTGAAACGGAACTCATTATTATTAGAGAAATTGGTAGCTCAGGAAAGACTGAACACTGTAATTCTAAATCTCTATCCGGGTAATAAAGGTTATTCGTTAGCTTTTCGTTCTACGCCTCGTTCGGAGAGTCCGGAAATGGGTCTGTCAGTTTTTGACGACACTGCCAATATGCTTGAGACGAGACAGTGGCCTTACGAAGAAGACGAAATGCTTCGATGTATCGATAACGAGGAGCTACCTTCATTCTTTATAGATTTATTCGACGCAAACTTTAGTTTTCTGTTTTATAGTGGATGTATTATAGCGGAAGTTAGAGATTATAGACAGTCATATCCGCACTTTAAATGTGATATTCATCATGTTCTTCTTAAACCTACTTTACAGGTAAGTGATTGGTAACTAGCAACTGTAACTGCATTTTAAATCATTATTCGCTAATCAAATATGCGATTTATTATCAATTAGGTGATCATATCATACATCACTGTAATACAGCAATTAGCTTATTTAAATTCATTCAAATGTGTCACAATTGCTCTCGCAATTGCTATATTGATTTACATTCTCATATAACTAAATAAAATGTTTGTGTCAATAAATAACTTTTTTTAAAATAGAACACCCTGTATATTTTGACGTGTTCCGATGTCATTTGTTAACCTCTACCTTGAACGCTATTTACTTATTGTTTTTTTTCTAAGTTGCAATCTTAGTGGGTAGGTACTTTTGTGAAAAATATTGAATAACCTAAACAGTACGGGACATCTCTTATAAAAATTGAAGAGAACCCAACAGACTATCGAGTAGCGAAATAAAATAGCGGTGGCTTCATTTGAAAAAAAAATAGCTATGGCACTTACAAATTTGGAAACTTTACCATTTCCTTGTGAACACCCTGTATCACTAAACCCAACTTTCTCATTATCAAAGTGTAGCCATTATTCGTATTAAAATTTTTGCACAAAAGTATTTCCTAATTTCAAAGTTCATTATGATTTTTTAAAGTGGAACTTGCTTTTAGGCGGAATTATTTGGAAAAACCCAAAAAGTAGGGTTCAATGTAGAGATTAACATCGAAACATGTAAAATATACAGGGTGTTATATTAAAAAAAAGTTATTTATTGACACAGTAAAAATGATCACATGACCTTTTGCATTGTACGATATGGTCACTCCTGAAGCGGAAAATAGAACCCATCTGGAGGGGGGGGGGGGGCAAAATCCCATTTGGATCTCGCCTGCTCTGACGGCCATTTTTTTCCAGAATAAATACTCATGGAAGCGCACTCGGAAGCGCATTTTTTGGGCATATCGAATTTTTGGTTGGCAAATACGTTATGACTAAATGTAGTCGTAATGGGAGAAAAGAATATTCTCAGAAATTGAGAATATTCTTCCAAATTGGTGTCTGCTCTCATTTCATGAGAGAATGTGGAAAGTGGCGAGGGAAGTGGTGGTAGATGATGCAAACAGTGGCAGATTTAAATTTTTTGCGCCCCTAGGCACACCGAAAGATATGCCCCTAACATAATTTTTAAATTGTAATAAATTTTAAAATAAAAATCAAATTATAACATGAAATTTTGAAAACTAATATGAAAAGAAACTACCAATTCCAGTTTATTCATAATTTCAATTAAACATTTTTGTCATTTGTAACTTGTTAGGGGACTTATTTTAAAACTTAAAATGTTAGTTACCTAAAATAAATATATTGCAAAAAAATGCCACCCCATAAAGATGCCGCCCCTAGGCACGTGCCTAGTGTGCCTATATCTAAAACCGCCACTGGATGCAAATGACGCAAATGAAATAAATCGAATGTGATTTAGTTAGACCATAACCATACATTATACAGGGTGTTCCTAAATACTATATGATATAAATGTGAAAGGAACTTTGTTTTAGTTTATAACTAAAAGTTCATAGAAACGTAGGTCTACAAACGCTTTGTTACCCATTCTACAGGGTGTTAACATTTCAAGGACTTCCAAAGAATGCCTCTTATGTGTATTCATTGCGTAGGATTGTAAGATTTATAGTGTGTAAGAAGATTGGGAAGGCATACAGTGTGTAAAATAAATTTATCGCCCCTGTAACTTTGTTTCAGTATTGAGAAATATATAAAGGCAGTTTTAAATACTATTTTGATCATATTTGAAAAATTAACTTAACTGCGTTTGAGAATTTTAAAATTGTTCCTTTTTTATCGGACTAAATGAATTTTTGTGGGAATGTATCAATTTATAACTACCTCCTTGGTTATATTTAATTATAATTTTTTCTAACCCCATATAAATTACCGAAAACAAGGTAAAAAGGTACTGTCTCTAGAATATAAAATGCAACAAATACAGGGTGTACTATTTAAGATTCACAATCAAAGGCCATACAGGGTGTACCATTTAAGACGAACAGGCCACTTGTGGTGAAACTGAAGGAAAATACAATTTTGAACATTCAATTCGTTTTTATTTTACTCAAAGAATCCCACCATAATTTTATATTCATATCGCCCCTTCTATCAAAGTTGCTGGAGGATATAGAGATGTTTAGAGAGAATTGGAAATAGTTATCCGCCTTTAGTACACCATCGAACATACCACTTATTACACTCTGATAATCTTTTTTGTTGTAGACTATACTATCAGATATTCATTCAATAACTGAAGACAAAGTAGATTGGGGGACAGATGAGAAACAACAATTAGAAAGTCAACTACTCATAGCAAAACATCCTACCTTATGTTTAGACGCAAATCCATTAGTAGGCGAAATTCAATGTAAATTAAATCACACTCGACAATTATTAAATACACATCGATTAAGAAGATACGCTCGTAAATTTTCGCAAGTAACAGTAAATCGCAAGAGGAAATTGGACCAATTTACACACAGGCCTGGTTTGGAATTATACGATTATATAACTAGATTACGTAGTAGATCAAAGAGTAGTAGTGTACCCTTAAGTTCTGTAAATTCAAAAATTGCCAAAAAAGTTCACGACGATATCAGACCTATTCCCGTTCCGAATTTAGACGTGCCGCTATTGAATCCGCCCTCGCAGGGTGTGCTGATTAACGAATTTAAAGCGTACGAACGACCGAAAGAAACCAGCGATTGCCTCCCGCAACTAATTGAGGAATACGTACTTGAGACTGATATGCCATCGAAGGAGAAGGGAAAATCGAGAGTGTACCACATTAAGCTGTCCATTCTTCAGAGGCCCTCAAATTCGGAATACTTGGGCGAACTGTACTTAGATCGGGATCACAAGAAGGGCGAACGGAACGGAGTGGCGTGCCGATTCTCTTTAGGGACGAGGGCGCACGCGAATCGTTACATTCAGCAATTCACGGAGATCTTCACTGAAGGCGGTAGAAAATCTGTTAGGATTAAGTATGGGCTGAGCCAAGGGTATCGGGAGCGGATTGCGCTCGCACAAGCTCAGGCACAGGTTAGTGCAACAATTTGTTTATGCTGTATGAGTGGGGAAATGGGAGTGACTGATATTGTGTAGCCGCTACTTTTTTTGTCCGACACTATTTTGATACCAAACTATTCATATGAAGTTCTTTTTAGTATAAGCACACATACTAAATAAGCAGTAAAATGGTGTAGTAGCAGAACACACTCAGGCACCTATATTGTTCTGACTTTGAAATACATTCCTTCCTTTCCTTTATCTGAAGTAGTACCCAAACAGGGTAATCTTATAGTTTCAACAATAAGTACATGTAAGTATTTAAGTTAATCGGCACTCCGTACAATTGTCAGAGATTTTTATAATAAAATCCCAAGCTGCAAACTAATACTAGGGGAAGGTGTGGTAAGATGATGTACGCGGCAAGATAAGGAGTAAGACTGGATTCAGTGCAATTAGTGGCGCGAAGTCTGCTACATAAGCTATGAAGGTCAAAGTAAATTTAAATCTAGATAACATTTGTATATACTCGTTATCTTGCCCCAATATGTTCGGCATTTTGCATATTAGGTGCAGCAAGGTGGCGAGAGCGCCCACTAGTTACTTTTGTTCTCCTTTTTTTATTACAGCTATCAAAGTTTTTTGTGTTTGTATCTTAATAGGATTCAAAAGACATCCAGGCACCATTCTCAGTTCCAATTAAAGCATTCGTTTCTTTTGTATTTCTTTAATATTGTCAAGTGGCCCCACCCACTCTATTAAAGAACTTGTGTAACTTTGTGTAAGTTTCTTCCAAAGTGGTGAGATAACAGTCCAATGACATGTGGCATTCAGAGGTTGCCAGGTTACTGGTTTTTTGGCGCCAAAAATCAGAAAAACAGAAAAAAATTCTACTAACCATCACATATCAGCGTTCTTACTAATTAGCAGCATTGACAGTGACAGGGTCACTTTTAAACTGGAATCCCCTAATTCTGCTACCAACTTCCACGAAGACCAACGTCCCAATCGACTATTTGATGATTTTAGCGACATCGGCCAATGCAACGGCCGGTGGTCGCTTATAATCTGGATTTTGGCATTTTCCAAGTATCCACGAAAGTTCTCACACGTCTATATCACCGCCAATGCCTCACATTTACTATATGGTACTATAACTACGTTCTGCAGTAGTGAGTAGCCTACTCGCATTCTCAATAGGTTTTTCATTTGGTATCTCCCCCGTGGCATAGGAACTTAAATAAAAGGCGCTTGGTATTCCGCCTGCCTCATTATGGCAGCGCAAGTTAGTAGGCGTTTCACTTCTTCAAAAGCCTTTGCGTCACTGGTTTCCCACTTCCACGGAGTGATTTTTTGTGGAAAATCGCTTAGTGGTTTAGTTAGGTTTGTGTATCCAGGAATGAACTTCCGAAACCCTGATGCTGTTGGGATGAATTTAATAACTCCTTCACATGTTTTGGCGGAGGCATATCGGTCATTGCAGTCAATTTGGCTTGATCCGGTTGTATTCTCTGAGATGTAAGTAGGCGGCCTAAACAGTTAATCTTAGGGCGCACAAATATGAACTTTCCACGATTTGTTCCAAGTTTGAAAAGGCGAAGATGCAGAAAGACAGCACGGAGATCCGCTAGATGTTCCTCAATTGGTGACGTTAACATCATAATATCGTCCAGGTCCAGGCGAGTTCCTCAACTCAAACAGCATTTGCTTGAAACTAAAATTTCCGAAAGACAGTCGCAAATTCATTCAGTAATGAATTGATGCGACCACGTTTCCTAGTGTTCGGCGTCTCACCTACTGCTGTTCCAAGTGACAGGTCAGGTTTATGTACCGCGTCCACACAGATAAAATTCAAAGCTTCCTCGGCCAAGAACCTGTACCGTTTTCCTGGGTCATCTGAAAAGGACCAGTTGTTTGTCTAATCTGCACCTAACAATGTGCGACTGTTCGGGAAGAAGAGGATTGCGAGAAGGGGCGTAGATATCTTCCGTGACTGAAGTTCAATCGTTTGCGTTGATATAACTTGTATTCCCATGGGCAAGTTTGATTGTTATTTGTCTATCCTCATAGGGTTCCCCAAGGGACGTTAAAAGTTTGCACAAATGGGCGCCGGCGTTTTGGTTTTGGATCCCGTGCCAAGACTTCCACAAAACTGTCGAATTCGGATTGGTAACATAGGGCGCGCTTGTTCTGCACCAGTACGAAACAAAGAACAAGAGTTTACAGCATTAAAAGTCATAATAGATGATGAATAGGATGCTCGGCCGCTAGTATTGCTTGTGGGACAGTTGCTCCGAATATAGCTGGGATTACCACACCCAAAACAGCTGAGTTTGTGAACATTTGTCGAGGAACTTGTGGTACTACTTGACGCTTGAGTTTCCGCGGATGATTGTGACGGGCGTGCGACCAACTTCCGGCAGTCAGTTCTTGTATGGTCACAATATTCGCATTTTGCCCGAACCTTGACTGCTTTGTTGGTAGGCGTGGCTTTCCGAGTGTCAGTGGCGAAAGATTCAGGTTTGAGGAGAAAATTTTCTTCAATGGAATGATCATCACAAAATTTTTGACTTGTTCGCGTGGTAGACGTACCCTATGATTAAGAAGACTGTAAATCATGTTCAACTTATGTTGCAATTCTGAATATTTTGGTGCGCGACATAAAAGGGCACAAGCATTTGTGACTAAACGTCAGTTGGTTCATGTTCTTTAGATAAAAGTTAATGATATATTTGGTATATGGGCTTGACCGTTAAGTAGCATCAATAGACCCTTACGAGCATTGTTATTAATTCTTAAACATGTCAACACTAATCGCGTCGATAAACACAGTCTTAGATAATTTATTTATTTCAACTGTTTTGTTTAAACCCTGATCGCAAGACACTTCAATGCGCATTTTCCATTATGGCAAACTGTAAAGAACGCATAGTAGTCTGTTTGATATTTGAAAATGGTTATTCACTACATTATTGCTAGCTATGTGGTTTCATATTCACTAATTCTACTAACTGTGCCATACTTTATAGATGCAGTCGCAACATACTGTCCAAGTCAATTTACCTCAGCAACAGCTAACACATTTGGGGCAAAATTTGCAGAGTCCGCCCTGCGTTATGCCTTTAGTAAACGGTACAGTAGGATCTGGTGTAACCTTGGTTCAACAAAATCAAAACGTACAGAATTCGTCAGTTCCGATTTTGGTAAGACGTCTTTGCTGACTTAGCTTGTGTACTACTCTAATGTGATTTTTAGCAGACGCAGGTTCAAACGGGTCAGACGAAACTTACCAGTTCTGAAATTGAAATCAATGCGTTAGCCACGAAGTTAATGAATTCTGCCCAGCAATTCCAAGCAGCAGGTAGTTGTATATAGTCTGCAAATTTACCGACGACTAATACTTTCATTATAGCCAATGCCAAACAGCAACAGCAGCAGCAGCAACAACAAAAATTAGCTTCTGTTACGAACAATGCCGCCATTATAAATCTTCTTAATAGTTCACCTGCGAGCAATGTAAACAGTGATGCTAGTGCCGCCGTTGTAAATGCTATCAATAATACGACTAGTGTTTCGCTTTTACCTCATCAAATGCAAACTATTAATCAAAAATTAATAGGACGTAAAATGACATTATCTAATGTACCTAACGCGCGTGTGCTTAATAATAGTAACCTAATAACCGTAAATAATAATAATAATAGAATGACCTTGTCTGACCTAAGTTCTCACTTAACTCCAGTGACGCAAGCACATACAGTGACTTTAACTACAGCTAATACAAATTTTGTACAAACAAATTACTCAAACGTACCTATTAAAACAGTAGTGAATCAAAGAGTATTAACGCCTAATACGAATGATAATAAATCCGCGCTGTCGGCCCTTTTAGTCGGCACGCCGGCCGCCGACAGACCTGACATTGTAGGGCCGAACACGAGTTCTTTACTGTTAGAAAAATTAGCGGGTAGTTCTGCAACGACACCTGTTCCTACACCGAGTCCAACGAACTTTATTCAAAGTCCGAAAACGCAGTACACAGTGCAATCTCCAAAAAGCGTTATTTCGCCTCTATCGAGTCCTCCACCTCAAAGTACGGGAACGATAAACGTGCAAGGTTTAAATTTTACTCCGATTCAGAACATTTCCGGTTTACAAAATGTGCAACTGCAGTTACCCGGTTTCTCTCAACCCATATCTTTGCCGTTAAACGTTTCCTCCGCGGGAACGATTCAAGGACATCCTACTAGTATTATCGTTTCGTTACCCGTAACGACAGCTACCGCCACTGCCACGAGTATAACACAACAGGCCGCAACTACTTTGGTTACTTCTGTTACTAGTCCGACAGTTGTTTTGACCAATGCTGGCGCTGGCAATTTAGGTGAGTTGCTTTTGTATTCTACAATGACAAGTCTATAGTAGTATTCTAGTCAATGTAGTCTATTTAGTACAAATTCAAATTAATATGTTTTCATTAACAGCATGTAACCGGCTTTTTACGAGTACCTGTTCTGTATAGTTTTTAGGCCGATTAGATTAGATGTAGATGATTATAGTAAAATTTGAAATATTTTTATATTATATTTATTAAAGTGTATTATTTTTTGGTCTGATGAATTTGTTTCAATCAACTAATAATTTAATAAAGGGCATAGGTTGGCAGCATTTGCTAACTTATTTTTGAAGTTTAAGAAAGCGTCAGATTACCAAACATGTTCTGTTTTTGCACCTTCTAAGTGAAAGCCACAGGTCTGTACAAGCTGGATGACTTTCAGGCACACAGAATGATCTAAGATGGGTAGATTCACTACTTGCCCAAAACTCATACCTTCCTCTGTCCTTGTTGTCGTCACGTCGCTACATATATATATAATACATTCTTCAACAGCTTGGTAGATTTGTAAAACAGTAATCACATGAAAGATTGAGAACTGCTGCTAATTTGGTAGCTAATGATTATTGCATCACAGTTTCTCCCTGTATTGTGGTGATATCAAGTACCAGTCAAAACAGAATCGATACAAAAATTATATTAAAAAAACTGGCCTATTTATTACAGTAACGGACCAGTTTGATGATGTTGATGATACCTAGTGACATTAAAATATGAATCAAAACAAATAATAATAAATACGATAAACAAAAACAGAAAAAAAAATAAAACGTTTTAAACCGTTTATCATATTTATTATAATATACAAAACGTTTCCGAAATGGAGAAATACATCTTATTAACAAAACTAATACACTAGTAGATTAGGTATATTTTTATAATTAATGTACCGGGTGACCCAATAAAACTGTTCCTCGGCCATATCTTGGGAACCGTTCGTCGTATGACTTAGGGGTAAACAAAATTATTGGGTAAATCGGTTATGAAGAATCACTGGAAAATATTTTCAAGTTCTAAAAATGACCACCAGAGGGCCTAACTGCCATCTTAAATTTTAAAATTACATTTTTTTTAAATTCCGCATAATAAACTTAACAATGCTCTTTTCAACGATACCAAATTTGTTACAATCGGCCAAACGGTTAAGAAGTTAAAGCAGGTTATTGCAAATGCAATTGAACGCCCCACGCCATCTTTATTTTCGAAAATGATAGAGAAACTGGTTCTCTTTGAAAATGTGAAAAATTTGTTTGTTAGTTTATTATGCGAAATTTAAAGAAAATGCAATTTTAAAATTTAAGATGGCAGTTACGCCCTCTGTTGGTCATTTTTAGAACTTTAAAATATTTTCTAGCGATTCTTCATGACCGATTTACCCAATATTTTTTTTTACCCCTAAGTCATATGACAACACCCGAACGGTTCTCGAGATATGGCCGAGGAACAGTTTTATTGGTCACCCGGTACAACAAAAAACTGGAAACTTCTCCCCTTGTTTATTATTTATTTATAGAAATGTTCAGTCTACTTGCCACTTACATACTTGCATATTTTGGTTAATAGCCAAAATATAAATATTTAGAAATGTTATATTAAAAGGTGGGTGGGTGGGTTGCAGAATGTGACTTTATTATCACTTGTTTGTTATTAGTCCAGTATTATACGGTGATACAGTATAATGTTTTCTGATTCGCACAATGATTGGGTTTTGGGTTCTACTTACCTTCTACTTCAATTATCCTATACCGGGAATTGCTTTTACCCTGGAGCTGGCTGCCCTGCCTGCTCTGGGTTAAAAAATATTCCATTGCAAATAAGTCACAGAATGGATAGATTGACTATTTCCAAGCAACTTTTGTTCTACCAAGTTTTTTCTGAAAGTCAATATTTTTCAATCTATTTGCGCGAAAATGTAAATTTTTCAACTACAAAACCCGTTTACAGGCGGTTTGTTCAACAGCTATGAGTTTATACAGTGTGGCCCTTTGAAAACCTTACAATGACTACAGTACAACCTCGATAGTCCGAATACACGCTAGTCCGAAATCGCGATAGTCCGAAATAATTTCGTTCCTCGTAACAACGATGACACCCGTGAAGACGTTGAAAAGAATAATTTTTATTTCTTAATGCTTGTGTCCAAATTTATTATTTTCACTAGTTTTGTGATAATCCGAAAATTTGATAATCCGAAAAGTCGGTGGTCTGAATCTTTTCGGATTAACGAGGTTGTACTGTATATTTTTTATTAATGAGACATACAAAAATTCAGTTTCTTTCAAAACCAGGGGGAATTAAATGACACAATCCGTAGTGACGTAAATATCTTAAAAATACCACTCTTGTGATACCTCACTTATTAAACATGCTTTTCACTGGTCATAAAAAAAGTGAGTGAACTTAAAACTAACCTCAAATGTTAAGGTAAGTTTTGGAAAACGTACAATGCCCATAATTTTTTTCACAAATAGAAATATTAATTCGTATTAATTCAATGAAAAATATGTGGTTGTTGTAAAAGCTAGCGAGAATCCCAATCACGTATTTTTCAATAATTTCAATTGTTTGACATTAACAGCTAATGACACTTCGGCAGTTTAGTTGGCATCAGAAACTACCAACTTGCAACATTCGCCACTCGTTTTATGCTTCGGCGTAATACTGACTCGTGTTTTAACCAATCACAGTGAAGGTCAAATCTCCCCTATGCTTTCTACCGCTACCTTCTTAAAATGAATAGAGCATACAAGCTATTTTTAAAAATAAACAAAGAACCAGATGACCTGATTCAGTAGAAGTTTTTGTATAATAGTTAAAAACCAATCCAACCCTTAGGGTTGGGCGTTTTGAAAAATATATGCCAAAAGAGTTAATGTACTCAATTCTTGGATACTTATGAACTATCCTCTAAGGTCCACTTCAACAAGCAATTTTGGGACCACTACCTTTTCATAGGTTTTATGATAGCCATTACTCACATTAGAAAGTGATGCCGGTTTTGAACATCTACCCATTTTTGGCGGTTTCCCAAGTCGAACCAGAACCATTTACCTAGAAGTATTAGGTCTTTTTACTAAATTTCATGTAAATGTTTTAATTTCCTTTATGACTTATAAAAAGTCTATTAATTTATATTCTGCTTACAGCTCAGCTGGTGACTTCCAGTGTGAAGGGTTTAAGTCAACAGAGTTTAAGAGCGGCGGGACCGGCAGGCGTGACATTATCTCAGGGAGGACAATTTCAACTACTGACACCCGTACAAAGGCCTAGAATGCAACAAAGTGGCATACAACAAAGCATAGCGCGAGGTGTGCAACGAACGCCAATAACAATCAAGATGGCTATTCCTAACGCAAGTCAGTTAAATGAGCTACAATTTCATTTTAACTCTAAATGAAAAATATTAAAGTCATTTTGATACCAGAAGATAAAAATCTGATTTCAAAATTTAGTCAATTGTAAAATATATTTATTTTTAGTTCATTTTTCAATGCACGATATTCATCTATTTTTAATTAAAAAAAAAACATTTTATTTTACCTTTACAAAGAAGACTGAAAATAAATATTCTTAGCTGCAGCTCAAGTAACGCTGCCACCTAATTCATCTATGAGTTCGTTATCAAATCAGCAACTTCAGTTCACGCTTCAAAAACAAGCGCAACTTCAACAGTACCAACAGCTTTGCCTGAATCAACAGCAAAAGAACATTACTCAAAATATTACTGCCAAAGTACGTCGAAGATCCAATGCATCAGATCCTCAGCCTTAACGTCGGTTACAATTCTTAATATAATTTATTTTTTTATGTTAATACCAAACCGAGTACTTTTTATACAACTGCCCAATAAGTTAGTGAATCCGTATTGTAAAATCTAATTATTCTATCTTGCATGGGATATCTTGATCTCAGATACTGTATTGTCTTGCACAGTTGTTCCTAGAAAGCAATATTGAAACGCTTATGTAGCTGCACGATTTTATTTAAAAACAAATTATATGTTTTGCAATAAACTACAGTGAAAAAATTACTCGGGCATTCATGGCACTGTTTTAAGTGACACTAACCTCTGTAACTGTCGTTTTGGAAGAATAATTTGTAGAATATTAAATTAATAGTGCCAAAAATTGTTAGATTTTAATTATGCTTTACCTCAAAATTACTGTGACTTGTAATACTTTCATTTCATGTATTTATATTGCTGCCCTGGTGAAATGTTTCCAATACATCATTGTCATACAGGTGGAGGAGTGAGACCTGCAACTATTTGTATATATGGACAGTCAATTTATTAATAGATACAATGTAATTTTTACATTGTGCTAAAGATAAAACGTGGGATTAACAGATGAAGATCGACTTTCTACTGTCTTATAACCATCTCGTTTTACAATAGACAGAGAAGCTTTCGCCCAAAATTTGGTTGATAGGTGAATGTGATTTGTTATCAAATTTCTTGTACTTATGAAAATATGAATAGGTTGCAGGTTATTCACTTTTCCAGTGACAAACACAATTAAGCAAATACTAATTTAAATTAGTATTACCTCTACCTCGCATCGTCCTTTTTTCTAATATTCTGGAAACCTATAGTTCTTCCCGTAAATTCATTATCATGACTTTCTAGTCAACACTTATGCTGTACAGGTACACCTAGACAATAAAACTTCATTTTTTTGCAAGTAGAGACAACAGTGAATTATTTGTAAAGAAAGTCGGTGATAATGGGTAATCTGCATACGCCTCATAATTTTTACCGATTGTTTATTGTATAAAATAAAACAGTAATTTGAAAGTGTGGTTCGTAACAATTACATTACAAGTTGTGCAAATGACAAACAGTAGTATCGTTTAAGTTGTGTTTTTTTATTTAGTCATATTGTATATATTTAGTGGTGGTTTTAATTATTTTAACTTATTCTTGTTTTATGTTTGTAAAGACATCACTAAGTGCATTAGTTATATACGTAGTAGAATTGCAAGTAATATACAGTTAATACAATCTTAAAATTCAATATGTGGGCAAACCACTCTAAAAATACCGCGAATGCTTTCTCATTTCCTATTTGATTTTTCCTGCAAATCTCGCTTGTGTTATTTGCAAATTGTGGTTGTGTAAGATTAAATGTGACGACTGAATGCAAGTTAGCTATAAAGTTTATCTGGTCTAAAACAACATTTAAGAGTATATGTTATTGTACATACAGTATTTAAAATAGTAATAAATTTTAAGATTTTTTTTTATTCCATACTACTCTACCATTTTTTACTAACTGTAACATAAATGTTCTGGGATGGTGATCTGTCCGTAATAAGAATTATAGACGATACTTGTATATTATCTGTATAGGTATTTTAACTTCAGCATTTCCTTAATTTTTGTAAAATAAGGTACGTTGTAATTTGTAATAATGTATATTGAATCCGTATACGTTATACCATTTACATATGTATGTAATATACATGTTTTAATAATTATTTGGCAATACTATAAATTATAATTGGCATATGACAAAGATCTTAATTGAAAGAACCAAGTTTATATTTTTACTTAGTGGGCAACCGTGTTACTAAGATTGATTTAAATTATTACGTGTTATCTGTATATTGCGCATAAAGTTTTTTAAATTATTTTACTCTGTATGGTACGTTTTGTATAAGTTGATATTATGTAGTAAATATTTTCATAACGGTACAATGTCGGCGACATGTTACCTAAGCCATTCGAAGTAAGGTTGTAGTAAAGAAGGAAATGAAACGCATTATATGTGCAAAATGTAAGTGAAAAACTTAGTGTATCAAGTGATACCTGTTACAAAGTATTTGAAATATAGAAGTTGATTTATAATCGTGGCAGTTTCAATGAACAGAAAAGGTGGACATTCAACAGTTTTTATTATCATCGTTACATTCTGAAACGGCTGTATTAATAAGTGTAATCAACAAATCAGCATGGTTTACAGTTTCATTTATACATTCGTATAATTTTTCTTCACTTAGTGGGCTGCCACCTGGTTTATGAATTGAACACAGTTCTTTATCTTTCACCACGACTGTTAGTAGACCGGAACTGATTTCCTCTTCTTCTGTAGTGGGATCCGTTATAATTTTACTGCAACAAAAGATTTCCTGATCATATCCATTTCAGTTATTGAAACATTTTGCTACCCACGATTTCATTGGCGTTTTACCGATGATACGATCGATGGTGATACAGAAATACCAGCTCAACATATTCACTGAAATTGAGATTTGAAATTTTGTGTGGCTATACTTTATCCAATCGATGTTCCACTCAACGGGTTTTTGTTGAAAAAAATGATTGAATATTACTACAAGATCCCACATAAGGTCAAGCTCTGTTTACAGAGTGAAATACATTTTTTAGCAATCTTAATATGTAAACAAACACATTGCAAATGGTTGCCTAAAAAAATTAAGAGAATAAGAGCTAGCTTATTTTTGTACCTACTATGTGATCAAAAGTCAGTTACTGTCGAGTCACCTTTGGAATATTTGTTTACATGGGAAATTGTACTTGACTTGATTATACTTATTCAACATATTACAATCGGAAAATTCTTTTTTTTCTTACCCCCAGTTTGAAATATGCTGCTCGCCCAGACGCCCACAATCAGTCTCAACACTACAGATGGGATTAAAGTAAGGATTTTTTTACAAAAGCACAAGGACACAATAACAAATGACTTACTCTTCAAACATTGCATATGTAGTCGATACTGGTGTGTTATAAATGTTTAAACATTTTTTTACACTTGCATCAATGGTTTTTTTATCGATAGCAGCATCATACTGGACAACGGGCAATCTGACTAAAAAAATGTCTCATCACACACGAAATAAATGCACATCAAAATGTTTACCAGTTTTAAGTGCCGTTAAAAGTACTAATAAACAGGCATCAATTATACAGCCATCATGGTCTAAACATATAATGTCGGCATACAAACACCACACTAATTTTTCTTTAACTATGCATAAGTCTTTCAAGTTTATGCATCCCGAATTCAAAATTAAATCCGCCACGAAACGTGTGGTAATCTGCGCCAAATCGCTCGGTGGACCTGGTCGAAATTTGGATGAGCACAGTGGTGGCAACTCGACGTTACAGATTAAAAATCCTTCATTCGGTTTTTCCGGTTTCGGTGGACACAGCTCCTAAAAATCACTGCATTAGGGCAAAGATAACCTCTCCATCACACCAGAGAGGAAGAGTTTTCTTAGATCAAAAATCTCACAATATGCCAAATGATTTTGTATTACAAAAGTACAAAAATAATAGAAAAATAAAAGTGTAGTGTGTACAAGTATTTTGTGATAAATGGATTTAGTCACGCTAAGCTCGAGTCTAAGATTATACTGGATTAGATAGACGCATGTAATTTCACTTATGCAGAGGGTATGTTCGTACCACAATAGTACTCCCAACAGGGTCTCCGCAATAAAATTGGTATCCCCTTCAGTTTCCAAAAAATTAACAAAAAATGATTCTCATATTCAAATCTTACATGATCTTACATTCTTTTCTCAGGTCGGATGATAATGCCTTTAAAAAATATCACTGGCACATCATTTTAAAGCTTATTCAATTAATCTAAACTAACTGGATCAAAGTTTACCTTTCGTTTTAGAAATAAATATTGATCTGTAAAATTCAAAACAACTAAAATTTTTAAGATTGGATGACTAGATAAAAAATTATGGGAACAAAACCGATTTCCAAAAGACATGGAAAAGACATTTATCCTTTACACTGGTAAACTCGAAGAGATTTGTACTTATTTCATAGATGACGACATGCTCACCACAGCTATAAATTACACAAACATTACAATATCAAAAATGGCCGCAACGATGGCCATAAAATACAAAAATAAATTAAGATATTATTCTCAACCCATTTAACAGTGTTGAAATGAAAGCATTTATTAGACTTGATGAGCAATATTATTCCAAATCCTGGTAAACTTAAAATGAATTAACTGGATCTCCAGCTCCTGCCTGCTTTACAATCACAGTGAGATTTTTCACCAATGGCCTAGTAGACCACTCTGTGGATACGCAAAAGAAGCATGACTTCCATAGTTACAGGTTAAAAATGTAAATCTTCCCAGTTGTTTTTTATTTATTTCATCTCCCTGACAGTATTATTATAGATTCGTCAGACGCCTGTCTAGATTTTTGCCATCTTACAGTACTATCTAAACAAGAAATAATTCTGGTAACTACGTTCACTATCTAGTACAGTACAATCTTTGCTTAAGACTCGCAAAACCATTTAAAATGTAACTCTACCACCGTACAACCTGTAACTTTTCAGGGCTTGTGTATCCAAGTGTAAATAAATTAATAGTGATTACCGCTTTAATGCCACAGATGACCGTAGTTTTCCCAATTCGTACTAAAGCAGACCCGTCTGCTGTCGCTATTGAGCCGATGTTGATTATAACAGGACGAAACTTGGAAACTAGCCGACCGTCAGGTCGAATGTCCTGGTTCAAGTAATCACGATAGAATTTCGTCGGATGTAAGGATCTGAAAGAAACTGTCTGGGTTAATGTGGACAGCACGACTTAACCTAACATTCCTCAATCAATTTTTTCAGTAGTGATCTTCGAATAGTTACAGGTTTATGTGAAACGATGTAGTTACTTACTTAAATTGCTTAGCCATAATTATTCTGGTAGCGGTAAAAGACGAATTACATTTGAAATCTTCAGGTTTCAAAATTGAAAAGCGTCATCTATTATTGTTTGTACTAAAACGTGGTCGAGCAGTAATTGGTTCATTTTAAACGGGAGTTATTTCAAATTTTGTGTAGTCGTTTGCAAATATGATTGTGCCCGCTTATTCTTCCGTAATTCAGTGTGCGACAAAAGTTTTTTTACATTAAAATAATGTGTATTAATTAAGCTAAAATTGGAAAACAGAAAAGGGGTTGGTCACGTGCACGAATGGACGCAGGTGATTGGCCCATTTCTCAGCTGTTAGTTCATGGCTACCCTCCTGCTCTGTTTATAATTTTGTAGAGAACTTCACTTTCAGTTTAGCGGTCATTTTTGACGGTTACAGCCGTTAACCAAAACGTGAATCCTAACATTAAACGGCGTGGTTTCATTTTATTTATCTGAAATAGTGCTTATTTATTAGCATAGTTTATTAGTAACATTTATACAGTGAATTTATTTTTAAATAATGGCAACATTTCACATCCACGACGATCAGGAAAACCGCGGCATTTCGGAGATACGCCATAAACAGGCCGACATGGCCCCCATGCATCAGAAGAGGGCCGTTTTGGGCTCGTTGAATAATCAAAACATATTAATCAATCAGCAAAAGTCAAAGGTGGTAAGTTATATTGCTTCATTTTTGGGGGGAAAAAGCTGCATGTTTTTTTTTCATTAGCCATTAGGTGTTTCGAATGGACAAAATGCCAACCTGGGGGCATCGAGTAAGCTTGAGAATCAAAAACTACCGCCTCCTGTGGTTCCGGTTGCCCAATTTGAAGCTTTTAAAGTGTACGAAGATTCCAAAGAGAATGATCTCCCCAATTCTGAAATTGGCAAATCTGTCACGACAGCGAAAGGTTTGTATCTTTTGCTTATGTTTTTTTTTAGATTTTTCGGGAAATTCCTATTGTAGATGTTTGATTTAACACCTGTTTACCTATTTTATCAGCTTTGTACACTTTGTAGATAAAAATAATGTGAGGTTAATCATATCATTTTCATTGCTCAGCTGCAATATCAAATTCCACTTTTTTCACTGTTGTTTGTACCCTTTTGGTACTGGCTCTTTGTATATCCTTCCACTTTTGTTTATGGATATTATTATATTTCTTATCTATAGTACTTGAATAGTCTTAACAATCTAACTCACAATTTTGTTATGTGAATGTTCTGAGATGTTCCCGAATGTCATGGAAGTGTTAGCATGTTTCGTAATAGCTGCTTTTAAAGGATATTACGGTTTAAGCACCCATAAACTATCTACCGGGTGTCAAAACTAGAATTTGTTTGGCACCCAGTTGTGAGTATTCAATGAGTAAAATTTGGATTTTATGAATTGTTAATTAAAATTTTAATCTTGAATGAGCAAATCAAGAATTTGAAGTGAAGCTCTTGAACGAGTAATTTGAAGCTGTATTGTTCAAAATTGACCACCTAAAATTAAAATGTTACTCACAATCTTTTAATTCATTGATTTATTGACCTTTTGGAACATTATATTAGACTTTCACTTGATGATCCTGTGAATCTTAGGATCTGATACTCGGCGATGATTTGCAGCCACAGTAACGACAAAATTTATGTTGCTTGAACGATGAGGGGATGATGATGCCAATGAAGGTTCTGTTAGAGAAAACTTTTTGCTTTTTTTTTTCTTGTATAATGTATGCTTTGCATTTTATCTTGTTTGCTAAAGAAGTACCAAAGATACTATATTTCTGGTATCAATTTTTAGCTGCCCAGCATGAGTCTCAACATTCCAAAGAGTGGTTTGTTCAAGACAAAGCTAAACAAGAACCAATCATCAAACCGAAACCGCTAGGGGAGAGCAAAAAGAATGCCGAGCTTAATAAGGCAAATGAAGAGAATGTTGAACCAAAGGAAGTAAAATGCAATGATGCGATTGTCGAGTTGCCGATGAGTGTGGAAAAATCTGTTGTCGATGAGAATCTCAAGCTTTTGCCCATTCGTGGAGGACGTTTGTCTAGGGATAAGTTTTTCGAAATAGAAGAGTATCGTTCCGAAATTTACATGTACCTGCGTGAACTTGAGGTAGATTATTGATTAATAAGCTTGTTTGGGTTGATCATTTTTCTTAATAGTTGCAAAATCGTCCGAAAATCGGTTATATGAGAAAGCAACCGGATATTACCTACAGCATGCGTTCCATTCTTGTCGATTGGTTGGTGGAAGTCGCTCTAGAGTATAAGTTGCAGTCGGAAACTTTATTTTTGGCAGTTAATTATATTGATCGTTTCTTAAGCTACATGTCCGTTGTACGTGGCAAACTACAGCTTGTTGGTATAGCCGCCATGTACATTGCTGCGTAAGTAATAATTTACCTAGTATTCAGGGCTGAAATGATTTAAATCAACGATTACACCCTGGCTATAGCACAAAGTGAAAGAATCAAGGTCTAATTCATACTGGATGTCCCAACTAAAATCTGTATTCTCTAATAATAAATGATAATTGAAATTGATCATTCATTTGGAATCTTATTGCATTCCATTTTCTAACCAGACATTTGAAGACATGTATTAAATACAAATTTGACATTTTTTAACTTTTATTTTATCTGGGACTCCTGGTATATTGCATTTTTGCTCATTAATATTTTTCCAACATTAACAAATTTTAAAAAATCGTGATTTTGATCCCAATTTTAATGATTTAGAAAATACGAAGAGATTTACCCACCTGACATAAGCGAATTTGTCTACATAACCGACGATACATACAACAAGAAGCAGGTGGTTCGTATGGAGCATCTCATCTTGAAAGTGCTGTCTTTTGATCTATCTGTGCCTACACCACTTACCTTTATCACCGCAATGGCTATTTCTACTGGACTGTCAAATCAAGTAATGTTCCTTGCCATGGTAAACACTAAAAAATTGCTATTGCACAGTTTTAAAATTCTTTTTCAGTATTTGAGCGAATTAGCTATGCTAGAAACAGATGTCTACCTGGAAACGCTCCCGAGCATCTTGGCGGCGGCCGCTATCGCGGTTGCAAGGTACACGCTCAAAATGGAACCTTGGTCGTGTGAGTTAAAGCGTAAAACTGGTTACGAGGGTAAGGATTTTAAACAAATTATGGACTTTCTGTATATACTGTACTGTAACGCCCCAAATAATACCCACCAAGCGATCAGAGAAAAATATAGCTGCAGTCAATATTTACACGTTTCCAACATACATCCGCGGAGCGAAGACATTAAATTAGAATAAATTACCATGGAGTGCCATTTTATGTGCCTTTGTAGACGTTTAGTGATTGTTTGAAATATTCGTGTGGCATATTAACTTGTTGTGCCATTTGCTACAGGCTAGCTATCGATTGACTAGTCAGATACTTTTTGACATTGATTGAAATGGATGCCATATTTTAGTTTTCATGCTCAGAACTGTTTCATACATTATATGTACGTTTTTTAGATTATTTTATAAGAAAGTTTTAAGTCCGAATGAAATATTACTTAGTTATTGTATAGTACCTAACTTATTTGTACAATGATATACGTAAAGACTATACAGTCTTTGAAGTATAATTTAACTTTTATTTTCTGGTGTTCACAACAAAATTCATTATATTTTAATATTTGACTGATAATTTACAACTTATTTAGGTATTCCAGTGTAATATGTGTGTATGTTTTGTATTTTTGTATGCAATACCATATTGTTTAAGAACAATTCTTTGTTTGTGAAAATTAAGTTTCAAAACTGATCATTTAGCCAAAACCAAATTTCTGATATTGTCTATAAATATCATTTTTCTTAAACAATATTGGGGCTTTTATAAGGTGTCGTCACGACCTGAATATGCACGACACCACACAATTCAGTTGAATTTTTGGTTTTTCTTTCGAAACCATTATTTTATTAATAATAACATTCTATTTAATGCATGCATTTCATTTATTCTTTTTCAATTTCTTTTGGACAGGGTTTCAAACAAGGATGCTCATTTACCAACTTAATAACCAAGAACAAAATTTTCATCTCTTACTAGATTCCAGCAGTCTTAGTCGAGCTTCCACCCAAGTACATCAAGCAAGTATACAAGAGTTTCAAATATTTGAAGTATTATGTAACACGTCTAGAGAATTTTTTTGAAGTCTTCGTATCTTGTCTAAAATTTTGGGACAATTGTAGTAATTTTAATCTGAATCAGTATGAGTAAAAACAAATGAATGCTCAAAATTATAGTTCACTTTGAGTTTGATCAGAAGTTTCCAATTTAAGTGAGGATACGATATTTAAAGATTTACATTGAACTCGACCATTCGTTGGCAACCTGAGCATGCGGCTAAAGTTGTGGCTCTCCGCTAACTAGTTAATCTTTTTCGAAATTCCCCTTGTTCTGACACTTGTTTCTTTTCTGATTTTTGTTTTTTATTATCACAGTCTACTCTAGTGTATAGATGTTTGGAAATTATACCATTTCCTTGTGAACACCCTGTGTCACTAAATCCAACTTTCTTATTATCAGTGTTGCCCTTTACATTGCATTATTGATCAAATGTATTTCTTAATGAAAGTCAAGGTGTGGCTACCATTGATAAAAGGGATGCTTTATATTTTTTACCAGGTATGAGCTAGCAAAGACCAACGCACTGGTGCAGGACTCTGTATATAATTTAGTGGTTCTTTAAAAACTGGGAAATGTTGTAAATTGGAACTTTTGGCTCTTCCGTTTCTATAGGTTGCCGACCGCTGACATGGACAACTTCACTGCGCCATGGACTTTAATCAAATTAATTTTTTGTCTGCGATGCAATTTTTTGACCTATATTTAGATCACATACTGTATTATTCGATGGTAGTACAAGTAATTTATGGTAGAGCATTGGGCTACATAGCCGGAAGGTTAAGTGTTCGAACCTGGGCTGGGGTTAGAATTTTCCATCTGTGGCAGAGATGAGAATTTCATTAGATCAGTTTCGAGCATTCGGCCGACTACTCTGAATTAGGTTTTCCTGCAGTTTTCCTAATTCGTAAGGTAAATACCGGAGTAGTATAGAACAACTTAAGACCTTCTGCAGGGACACCTCTAAAAAAGCATTATGAGACCCACTCTGTAATTGGGCACAAGTCTGTTGAAGGCCCAAACAAGAGAGAAGAAATAAATAAAACCAATCTATTAAGAAATGGATTATTGATGCAGATATTTTTGTAAATGCAAAGGCAAGAAGTGCCTTGGGCTCCTTAAAATCTGTGCTCACAATCGTTGTATATGAAAAATGTTTCTGCAACTGAAAGTCTGACTGAGAAACTAGACGAATAGAGGGTTGGGAAATCAACTGGAATTACAAACTTACCAATTTCTAGGACTCAAGACAGCACAAATGCACAGGTGTCGACATGTTGATACAAAACGGTGGTTTGATTATTTTATGCATTTTAGAAAACTGACTTCATCTTCCCGGCCGGGGTAACCGTGAAGACTCGCTATTACGACTGTGTAAAGATATTCATGCACTACTAGATTAAAATGTGAGTTTGGTGTTAGTGTCAAGTTGTTCTTATTCTTTCTCCCAGTCTATCTCTTGATTGCTTGATGGCTTCATGTCCATCGATTTAAAAGAGAATGGATGCACCACTTTGAAATAATTCGTCCATTTGGAAATCTGATATTATAGTGTAGCTGTAGAGAATATCCTGAAACCTATTACCGCCAAATATGTTGAAAGTAGTATCCAGTCTGTATTTAGTTTACTTATGGCGACGCTACTAGAGACGTACCAAGATTTTCCCCCTGAAAGTAACTTATGGGAGGCTGGCGTCTTTTCTTACTATACAAGTGTTTAATGATGGAGTTCATGCAAGATAGGCTCATCTCACAAGTATCTGTAGGAAAATTCTGTTTAAATCGCAAAAGTTCTTCCTGAGAGCAAATGAACCGTTTGACAAAACAAAGCAATGTTTAAATCAAATGAAGGTGCCCTTTTAATATAAAAGTACAAGAGCTCCTGATACACGAGCGCTTTTTTCTAGAGCGGAACCGATTACTGTTTGTAATAGAATCCAACTTTTATTTGAATGAAGTGATTCTCTCATTTAAGCCGGATTTATAGTTCCGTAGCCGTATTAACGTAAGAACGGAACCGTAAAATCTTACGTTAACGAAAATAATACGATTTATAGTTCCGTAGTGGCAAGTGCCAGCTTGCGCGTTAGCGCTCTGTCATGTATGTCATCTGTCAGTAAGAGTAACGTGCATTTTAAAATAATAATAACCAACAAAGTGTCAATAATTATTGTAAATAAACGAAACGAACGTCAGGATAAACTCAACTGTTTGAATTATCCGAGTACTACCGAAGACAAGCGTGTTAGCACGATTGACCGTAAGAAATAAGATTTGGGCATTTCCTACGTACCGTAACCGTTCTAACGCAACGTTAACGCGAACTATAAATGTTCACGCGCAACAAGTAGGGTCTAATTCCAAACGTTACGGTACGGCGTTGCGGGTACGGAACTATAAATTCAGTTTTACTATGGATTAAAATAGATAGTTTAAACATCAATTAAATTTGTTGCAACTCGCCCTGCATATCTATTATATTTGTTAAGTATAATAAAAGTAATGACCTTTAATTCCGCGATGAAGAGGGATAACTATTAAAAGAAGCACCTCAAATATTCTCGCAAACTCTAGTATTACAGAAATTTAAACTGCATTGGCAACATTGCAATGTTGACGCGCCAACTTGTCCGTGGCTCGGCCTCGGTGTCTCTGGTTCCTTTCACTTTCACTTGTCAAAAGTCGCAAACAAAAAATGAACAGAAGGTTGCTAAAATGAAAATTAAACAAACACTTATTTTTATCTCGTACCGCTGAAATTGTGAAAACCTCACGTCTCATCCTGATAATATGAATTTTAGGTTATGCTCACCTCTCAGTGTAAACATAAAACTTCCAATAATGCTTCGTGGCTTTAAAAGCGTTATCAGCGTTGACGTAACGACGCATTCTAATTGAAGATGAAAAGGAATGTAAAAAGCGTATTTAAGTTCTTAACTTTGGCAGGTATTACTTCAATTGTCACTGTTATTTTATTTAAATCACTTCGACATGCGACTTCCTCTGGATCTGAGGCTCTATATCTAAAAGATGAAAGTGGACCATTACCTGTCGCTCCTGAGGTATTTATTCGATACATACACTTGTGTCTACCTTACGAGTTATAGGAGCCACGAGTGATTAAAACGGATAACACTAAAATTGACTGGCATGACTATGAGGCAATAAAGAGGGATTCCATGCGAAAAGGAACTGGTGAACAGGGAAAGCCTGCTTATTTAACTGCGGCAGATTCAGATGAATACGACAAGCTATATAAAGTTAATGGGTTTAACGGTGCCTTAAGTGATAAAATATCTTTAGAACGAGCCGTACCTGATATTAGACATAAAGGGTATTTTTTTGAGAATATTCGCATTCATTAACTACAAAACTTTCGTAGATGTCGCAATAAAAAATACCTACGAAATTTGGATACCGTTAGCGTTATTGTGCCATTCCATAATGAGCACTGGACAACATTGTTGCGTACTGCGTATAGTGTTATAAACCGTTCCCCACCTCATCTCCTCAAGGAAGTGATTCTTGTGGACGATTTTAGCTCAAAAGGTAAGCCGTTTGAGTAAATTTTGCTTAGACCATATAGTACATGGACTGCTATTAGCCCTATGCTTTCAATACAAAATGGGTGGTCACGGATAGAGGGCACTGTAGTCGTGGGTATGTGAATCTCAGGGTAAACTAAAGTCGTGTAAATACCACTCGGATCGTGTAAAGAGTAGCTTTTATAGTAATCGCGTAGTACGGGAAGCTTTAAATACTCTTGATTGTCTTCTATACGTCCACAAATAAAAATAGGTTTGCTTTTTTTGGCATATATAGACGATAAATTAATTGACGTTTGTTAATTTATAGGTTGACAGTTTTAAATCGTGCCTAATCGGACAACTTCGGACAGACTCGTTTACCCTGAAACTCACATACCCAGACGATGTCCTTGACCATATTTTAGTGACAATTAGCAGTCCATGTACTATATGGTCTAAGAAATTTTGTCAAAATAACAATTGCAATTTTAGAATTTAGTAAGAAACCTTTAGATGATTATGTAGCAGTTAATTTAACGAAGGTGAAGGTGATACATTTGCCAGATAGAATGGGACTGATTAGAGCTAGAATGGCCGGCGCCAAAATTGCCACCGCATCAGTATTGATATTTTTAGATTCGCATACAGAAGCTAACGTTAACTGGCTACCTCCTTTATTAGGTGAATGCAAAGGTCATACAACATTAGATAGACAATCTAAATACAAGAGTTACGGTGGAATTCATAGACATTACTTAAGTTAGACTTACACTTTACTAAGTGCACACTTAGTTTTGTTTAAGTGGAACTTATATTTACTGCTAGTATCTGTCCGAATTTCGCGCGTTACTATAGCAATAATGTCATGCGTCACCTTAACTATATCTTTGAATACCACTAAGTACGCGCTAAGTATGAGTAAAGTGTAAGTGTAACTTAAGTAATATCTATGAATTCCACCCTTAGTTTAGATACGTTTAAAAAATTTATTTTTATACAAGCATCATCTGTCTTTTGGATTTGGTTTCGACTACTATAAATGCATATTTTAGAACCAATTGCTCAAGATTACAGAACTTGCGTCTGTCCGTTCATTGATGTTATTCAGTACGAAACTTTTGAATATCGCGCACAAGATGAAGGTGCTAGAGGTGCTTTCGACTGGGAATTCTTTTATAAGCGCCTTCCACTTTTACCAGAAGATTTGCAACACCCAACAGATCCATTTAAGTAGTACACATTTTGCTTCTTAATTTGTAGGTGATTTGTGTTGTATTTTAGAAGCCCAGTTATGGCCGGTGGACTATTTGCTATAAGTAGACAATTTTTTTTTGAGTTGGGTGGGTATGATGAGGGTTTGGATATTTGGGGTGGCGAACAGTACGAGTTGAGCTTTAAAATATGGCAATGTGGCGGTCAAATGGTTGACGCGCCTTGCTCACGAGTGGGTCATATTTATAGAAAATATGCGCCCTTTCCAAATCCAGGCCGTGGAGATTTTGTTGGAAAGGTATCATAAATCTCACGTTATTGTTGTTCATTTACAGTTATTCGACGTACATTGTTGGTTTATGTGGTTGTGTTGGGATAACTATAAATGAATTAGTGTCACTGTTTTGTGCAACTCTCGGTTTTAGAATTACAAACGAGTTGCTGAAGTTTGGATGGATGAGTACGCAGAGTATTTGTATAAACGAAGGCCACATTATAGAGATTTAGATCCTGGAGATCTAACTGAACAGAAAGCTCTGAGGAAGAAACTGAAGTGTAAACCTTTCAAATGGTTTATGACAGAAATTGCTTTTGATTTACCTTTAAAATACCCTCCAATTGAACCAGACGATTTTGGATCTGGTGAGGTAAATATATTGTGGATGTTTGCTTGAAATGATGCCAGTTCAAATTATGCTGAAGTATTTTTGATTTCTTTACATCAATTAATTTATGTGGCCCAACGAAAAATTTTTTTATTTTTCTGACTATCTGACTACACAGCTTCTGCCTTGTAGATACGTAATATTGGTGTTCCGGAATTATGTGTTGATTCGGAACATAAATCACGAGACCAAGTTATCAATTTAAAGGAATGTATTAAGGGAACCAAAAACAGTGGGGAACAAAATTTCACGCTGACATGGCACAAGGATATACGGCCATCTGGGCGAACACTGTGCTGGGATGTTTCCGATCCGGGTGAGAAGGCAGACATTGTATTATATCCTTGTCATGGCTCGAAAGGTAATCAGTATTGGAAGTATGATGTTGTAAGTGTTTGGTTCAGTTGTGGGCGCTTTTAAGCTGTTTTGACTTGCTTATAGGATAAGCAGTGGTTAGTCCATGGTGGTAACCCAAGATGCTTGGATTGTGACCCTGGTGCAAAGAGGTTATATGTAAGTAGTTGCGATAATTCCTCGAAAACGCAGAAGTGGAGATTTGAAAATTTGAATTTGAAGATGATGGCTGAGTGGGATAGTGTCGGTCCTGCATGAAATATTTGTAATTTAAAAAAAAACTGTGGGAACCATATATTTTTACTATTTCAATTTATCCATATCGTCTTTGAGCTAAAAAGGTGTACTTAATCAATAATTTGTATTAAACATTCCCAATTTTATATTGCTGTGATATTTGTAAGCAATGTTATATACCGTTAGGTGTAGTTTAGAAAAATCAAGGAACAACCCATCTTGTTTTATAGTTTTTTACTATTTGGATATTTATGTTATATTATCTGCAACTGTAACATGTATTGTAAATATATTTACAATTTATTTTTGTTCTTGTGTTTGTAAATGGTTTAAAAGAAACAATGTGCTTATAACTAAATTTTGTGATGGGGTTTATTAAGTGAGCAGAGCTGCAGTTATTGCAGTTTTTTTACCTAATGTCAAAGATCATTTTGCTAATGTACGAGCCCTAACACATAAATGTTCGGACATCTAGCATTTTTAAAATTAAATCGAAAAAAAAATAAAACCAGTCCAATGTCAATAAATCCGCAGATATCTTATATAGAAATATGCATTATAAGTTTATTGTTTATTTATTTTATATATTTATTTTTGGCATATTCTATGACCATACACTCCAAATGTAGATAACAACAAAATTCATCTTGATAACATGGCATTTTTATATACCTACTACATATACTAGGTAAGCAGGTAAGCTAAATTATCTTCAATTATAACGTTTGCAGGTTATGTGTATATTAATTACCCCTTACACTTGACAGCTGTACACAAATTCAAATTTTAGCGCGCTTGCGTTTGCGCAGTACAGGGAGTCAGTGTGGAACACATCTGCAAGTATTTGGGATACCTTTGGCATCGATCAATGTAAAGCTCTTGTGACGACCATGCCTACACGAATCCAAGCTGTTATTAAAGCCAAAGGGGATGTAACTAATTGTGAAGGGATGGTGTCCGAACATTTTTGTGTCACTTTAAATTCTGATTTTATGGTGTTTTGTGTTATTTGACAGTTGAAATTAATTAATTTTGCAACAAAATATAAAATTACAGTTACTAAATATGTTTAATGTATAACTATAGTAAGAAAAAAAATAAATAAACATAGGTACAATGATTTTTAAATTACAACATTTGTAAAATTTTGAGTGTCCGAATATTTATGTGTTAGGGCTCGTATATATTTTATTTATTTGTGAGTGGGCGAGGTTTCAGCCAAGGCTACTTTACCAACCCAACCCAACCGGCTATACGTTACAAATATCCATGCTCAAACGCAGATTCGCGCTTCCACGCCACACAGGCCGGCAGGTAATTTTGTTTTGTATGATCAAATCGGGGCAAAGTTGCTCCTTTTTGTGACTTACAAAATGCATGTCAAATTTTTGATAATAACTTAAATATAACAGAAAAACTGAAAATGTCAAATTCCTTTATTATTTTCCCTAGATTAAATGGATGGTTCTCATTAGCACCTTCTATGGACTAGGTACCAAACTAAACGGCCGGTTGTGTTGTGTTGCCCACTAAAAAGCGTCGTCTATACCTAGGTTAATCAGACTTACGCAAAAACTACGTCCTTTCACCACCACCCTATATGGACTAAAACCGTATAGAATAGAATAGTCAGTTTAGTATTTAAAAAGGCCCCTTTTATCCATAGGCATTCAATAAAGTATGTTCACTGGATATCTATCTTATATCCTTAATTTGTCTTGCAGAACAACTGGATATCCTATGGACATCGTGTACATAGTATGGTAATCATTGAATTTGTAATGTAACTAAATTCAATATGGTATAACTATAATATCTAATTAAATCTGTATTCAGGGGATGAGTTTAATGTTATATACCTACCCATTCCTATTTCATTTTGCAACGTAAAAAGAAGTGCTTAACGGTAAATCAACATTTTGACACAAGTTGCCTTCCCAACAATTTTAGTCTCCGGATTTGCTTCTTTCAAGGTTCCGCAGTTCCGAATTGACCATAAAGTGCATAGATTTTCATTCGTACGCCACTGGATTTATTTTGCCGAATTCAAGGTTATGTTCGAAAATATAAATAATTAAACCATAAACTTTGCCAACATAAACATAGGTAGATAGAAAAATAGAAAATATTTACGATTAAGCCCCTATTATTCAACCACATCGTATTGTAGTCTACACTTGTGGTTTCTTGACCTTAATGGAGGGGACTAATTTATAAATTTGTTACGGTGAGAAAATGATAAGTAGTTTTATTGTGCCTAGACGAGCGATCTTTGCTTCAACTACTATAAAAGGCAACCTTAATTTTCTAGCGAAATTTTTTAGTGCGAAAATGGACGAGCTTAGTTTTGCTTACACGTCGAAGCGACTGGCACCCCCCTTAGACGATTCGCGACATAAGGGTCAAGCAGGCCGGATAGGTGTATTCGGCGGTTCTCTCGAGTACACGGGTGCTCCGTATTTTGCCGCAATTAGTTCCTTGAAAGTTGGCGCAGATTTAGTGCACGTCTTTTGTTCTAGAGAAGCGGGACCGGTGATAAAGTCGTACAGTCCCGAATTAATTGTTCATCCTTTATTGGATGACAAAGAAGCGGTTAAGAAAATTAGGCCCTGGCTTGAAAGGCTTCATGTTATTTTAATAGGACCTGGATTGGGTCGCGAACCGTCGACTTTTGATGTAATCAGAGAGATTATTGGTATTTGCAGAGGTGACAAGAAACCTTTAGTGATTGATGCCGATGGTTTATTTCTGGTTACTCAGGAACGTGACCTTATAAAGGATTATCCAGCACCGGGCGTAATATTAACACCAAATGCCGCCGAATACGCACGTCTTGTGGGCGAAGAAAAGGGAACTGAAAAGAATGATAATAAAGCCATACTTGCCTTAGGAAATACAATAACTATATTACGTAAAGGAGCTGAAGACCAAATCATGGATTATGCAAAAACAATTAAAGTTGTTGGTGGCGGTTCTGGTAGGAGATGTGGTGGACAAGGTGATTTGCTAGCCGGTGCTTTAGCTACATTTTATACATGGACTTTACAACATAGTATGGAACCAGATGTACTTCATGACGATCGTGCGATGATTGCATGTTTCGCTGCTTGCCGGTTAACTAGAGAGTGTAATAGTAGAGGATTTTTGAAGAAAGGAAGAGGCATGGTGTGTTCGGATATGATAGAAGAAATTCCATATGTATTTCGGGACCAATTTGAATTGCATTAATTTTAACATGACTATGATACTTTCAAATTTGGATTATTCACTTATTTATAAGTTCAAAACGACTTTAAATATGAAATTTCACAAAAGCTGATTAAAGTTTTAAGTTTAATTGACATTTAAGCTGTAACTGGCTTATCATTTTTGTTGTGAAATTAGACAATCAAATTCTAGTCTGATGTGGTGTAACTGTAAGTTACAACTAAACAAAAATACCAATTTGATACGGGTAGGTAAGTTTCTAAAATGTGAAACAATCTCAATTCTTCTAAAATTGAAATTTCGATCAGGTTTTGTGAAACTGGGCATGATTGATGAATATCTCATGATTTTTACCAATTGTGATATTTTTCTGTACCTAACAATGTTTATTCACAAAGCATTAAAATGAAAATTATATATTACATACAAATAAACTTTTAGCAATATGATTATTGAATTCTATAGATCAAGGGCGAATGCATTTTTAACCCAGAAATAATTATACTAAACCTAAACCTAATTTTGGACACTTCTATTTTGCTCCTGTAACGTGATAAGTCCCCAGAACTTTGAGTTCTGCACCTGTAAACAGTATAAGGGCAAATACATTCACGCCAATATTGAAACCAATAAGCTGCTATAAATGGATTATTGCCCAAATATTGAATTTTAGCTTAATATTAAAATGCTTTGTACCTATTAAAAGTACCTACCCCTCACTGGGGCGATACGCCGCGAAGCGCATTTCCGTGCTTAAACGCACATAGAGCGCGGTGCGGCACTGTCATCTGTTATCCTAATCTTCATTTAACAATTGTGTCCTCTGATGAGGAAGATCTGTTTATAATTTCCGCTTTATGCGAAGAAACAGAAAACTGTCGCTTCGTTGCGCCGATTGCTGCTCTTCCGACAAATGTGCGCACTCTCATGTTTTAAATAAAATCCGTTCCGCTGCGCTTCGCGACGCGACGCCGCGCTTCGTTCTAGTGAGTTTTGGGAACTGAAGTGTACCTAACACAATCAAACGCTTTCGTGCCGGAATAATGAATCGCTTTGAATGCAGGACTGATACGTTTATACACTGGGGATCTCTGGGGAAACACACAGAAGTTACAGGATGGTCAAATTAAAAAAAAGTTGCCCAATTACAGAACTTGTATTGGACGTTCCGAGACCAAAAGAGGTCTAAGCAAGCGAAATGACTCAAAATGATGAAGAGTACCTACACATGAATGTGAAAAACCGGATACCTATAAAGATTATCAAGAAAAAAAATTAAGAAAAAAACAAAAACAATAAAAACTTTTAACGCGCAAAAAAGAGCTTAAAAAAAAGAGAAATAAAAAGCAACATACTAAAGGTAGAAGCAATAGATGAATAGGGCGTATTTCCTTCTCGAAATCAAAGATCTGCGCCGTGTCCTTTTCAGAAGAGGAATTTCTTATACAGTGTTTAAAACGGTTGGGTATACCTACATCAAAATGATTTAGGTACATTTCGAAAAGTGCAAATTTTGTCAAGAAAAGGTAACATTTTTTATAAATGAATAATAACAAAGGTACCGTTTCCAATTCACTTGACAAAGTGGTTTCAGTAGAAAATGCACCCAGACCACATGATATGCCAGTGAAATAAAACAATTTCTTGGACTAATATTTATTTATTATCCCTTTTTTGTTCTGGGCCTTCAACAGGCTTGCGCCCAATTACAGAGTGATCTAACGTATAGAGGCAACTCGCGACTTATTCCCAACGCACCGCGATAAGTTTCGACGATTATTACTTTAGGCAAATACAAAATTTCTACCGGTCTGCAGGATGTGAATCAAGAAATTGCTATAGTGATCGCGCGTTCTTACACCCTATAAATCCTGAATTGAAAATCTTTAGAGGTTACTGTTAGCTCTTTATCGTCAGGTGGAAACAATTTCTACCAAAGGGTTACTTTACCAACAGGAACGAAAAACAGACACCTTCTGGGGGTTATTTTCACATATAACAGTGGTTAGGTAGGTATACCTACCCGTTATTTTCGGTACTCTAATTAATTATTGTTTACAAGTCACCCCTGAAAAACTATAAACACGCAGAGAAAGTGTAAAAAAGGAGCAAAACTCAGTTATGAGCTTATGACACGTTATCAAGTCCGCCTTTCTCGACTCCTTGCATTTCTCACATATTTTCTTTATCACGCATTCGCGCGATTTTACAGCCGAAGTTTAATGGCGTCGCTCTGCCTTCGCTACACTTGTCTATCGTATACTATGTGCAATGCTCCACGTTGGGCGCCAAATAATTAATGCTGTGTGAAATGGCCACGAACCAAATAACACTTAAAAATTATAACAAAGCCCTCATTTTCCTAAAAACTTCAATTTTTCTAACTAAAAAAAAATATTGATCTCAGGTTCCAGCTGGGTTCCGAAACACTGGAAAATCTTAACGCTGATTAAACCAAAAGTTGAAGTTCCGGAAATGCTGTTAAATTTTCATGAAGAGTGTGTATAGGACAGTTGCAATTGAAATGCGAAATGTTCGTCAATGGCCCACCGCAGTGTTACGTGTGGCTAAAATTTAATCAAAATGCCACAACTGACTTGAGCGGGGCCGGTGAGGATTATTTTGCCAGCACCTTCAGTTTACTATACAGGGTGGTGACTTGCGTGACGCATCATAGGGATTTCAATGTAAAATTCATAACATGCGATTATTGGGTCCCCAAATTATTTTAGAGCAAAAATGTATTAAGGTTTTTTTGTAGAAAAAATTTTTTTACGCCAAACCACCGTATTAGTTTTCATTTTTTTTTCATATAAAGACGGAAAATTGGAAAAATAAAACCCGCATCTTTTTCAATAATCTGCGATGCCATGGAATTTTCTAAAACAAAAAGAGATCCAGGTATGAAGTAGCAGCAGTTAGAAATGGATTTTATGATCGACTTGGTTACTGTCTTGCAGTTGATGGTGAGTTATTCGAACATTTATTGTAAATTGTTATATTAGGAAACCGTTTTTAGTAATTTGGTCTTTCATTATGAATTCGCTGTTCTAAATATAATACTTTTTGATAGAATTTGATTTGTTTTATAGCAGACATTCCACGGCATGTCAGATATTAGGTCCGGGAAGTTAGCACCGTCATTGGAAGCACTAACGACCGGACCGGTGTCGATCGTTAGCGCTTCGTTAGTGCCTCTTAGTGCTTCATATCTTGCATCAGCACACAAAGCCGTTTCCAAAATATAGGCACCTTCTCATGCAGTGCTGACTACCCACACTTTTTGAAAGCACTAACGACCGGACCGGTCTCGATCGTTAGTGCTTCGTTAGTGCCTCTTAGTGCTTCATATCTTGCATCAGCGCACAAAGCCGTTTCCAAAATATAGGCACCTTTCTCATGCAGTGCTGACTACCCACACTTTTTGAAAGCACTAACGACCGGACCGGTTCGATCGTTAGTGCTTCGTTAGTGCCTCTTAGTGCTTCATATCTTGCATCAGCGCACAAAGCCGTTTCCAAAATATAGGCACCTTCTCATGCAGTGCTGACTACCCACACTTTTTGAAAGCACTAACGACCGGACCGGTCTCGATCGTTAGTGCTTCGTTAGTGCCTCTTAGTGCTTCATATCTTGCATCAGCGCACAAAGCCGTTTCCAAAATATAGGCACCTTCTCATGCAGTGCTGACTACCCACACTTTTTGAAAGCACTAACGACCGGACCGGTGTCGATCGTTTTGTGCTTCGTTAGTGTTTCTTAGTGCTCCATATCTTGCATAATCGTATAAAGCCGTTCCAAAATATAGGCACCATCTGATGCAGTGCTGATGACCCTCACTCAGCTGTTTGGACCTATAGTGCTAACATTTTTGCTGGGGTTAATGATAAAATTTCTTTACCATGGTTTTTGAAAATAAATATTATTATAATTTATTAAGTACAGATTTCTTCTATCCAAAGAGAAACTTCAGCACATTTGGATACACCATTCGCGAAATTACTCGCGAAATTAACTAATCAGAAGTACAATAGACAGAAACATGGCCCTAGTCCGGCGGATATCTACTGAAGAAAGTATGTTCAATAAACGACGAATAATAATCTTTGATTTTCACACAATGTTCGTTTTGGCAGCAGTGATGCAAATTCCTATGGAACAGCAAGAATACGAGCACTAAGTTCCTGGATGAATGAATGGTAGGGACAACTATAGGTCTATAATTTACGACTAATTAATATTAGAATGGGGGTTTTATTTGAACAAATGTAGATAATAAAAATTATATTCTTTCACCATAATCAAGAACAAAATATTTTTTTTCGGTTTTAGGTCGATTTATGCATATAACTTCGTATTTAAGATTTAACATTAGGACATTTAATATTTTAGGCAACTTTTGAAAAAACTTATTCTATTCCATATTAAATTGCATATAGCAATAAATGCGGAATAAGTGTGGTATTCTTCCTTGCAACAAGTATGTCTTTTTGCAAGTCATCATACCGTTCCCAAACTGCATCTATTCTTCTACAGAAACAAACATAATGACCTATGTTGCATGTTGTCGGATCATTTGGGGCAATGAATGCCACAACAGATCGCAATATCAATCTTTTCCCAAATACGGTAATGGCGAATGGTATATCATCTAGCACAGCGTTTCCACATTCGGTTGCGTCAATAAATACAAATTTAGACACGGATAAGGTATGTGTAATCATTCCATGGCAAATGCATTTACTGCACTAAGAGGCACTAACGAAGCACTAACGATCGAGACCGGTCCGGTCGTTAGTGCTTTCAAAGTGTGGGTAGTCAGCACTGCATGAGAAGGTGCCTATATTTTGGAAACGGCTTTGTGCGCTGATGCAAGATATGAAGCACTAACGAAGCACAAACGATCGAGACCGGTCCGGTCGTTAGTGCTTTCAAAAAGTGTGGGTAGTCAGCGCTGCATGAGAAGGTGCCTATATTTTGGAAACGGCTTTGTGCGCTGATGCAAGATATGAAGCACTAAGAGGCACTAACGAAGCACTAACGATCGAGACCGGTCCGGTCGTTAGTGCTTC